AAAACCAAAAAAGGGAGAAAAGCTGTAAAAATAGTTAAAGTTAAAAACGCAATGGCTTTACGCTGGATTAAGGATAAGCTTTTAACTAAGTAGCACTTAGTTAAAAGCTAACTGTAACTTACTGTAAATTATTTTCTAAACTGTAGTTTAGAAATGAAGTTATAAATTTAGTTTAGAAATCAAAACATGATACAAATCTACATACACAATCGCATGAAATCAAAGATATAATACTATTCAAAAGGGCTAAATACTTTTTAACTGTTGCTATTTTACCATAATGGGAAAACAGGAGATACCAATACTGTGCAGATCAGAATTCCAGTATGTCTTCCCGTACTGTTAGCATCACAAGAGAAGTTCAGAAATATGATGTAAATAATACTTCACATCCATCGACTTGTTTTATCCTTGTTGTTTCACAGAATATACTTTTCAGTTAAAATATCACATATGACACTTTATCATTATGGTAGCTTTCAAATTACAGTTACATTTATTGGCCACAATCAAAATGAGCAAGACATTTGTTTTTGCCAGATTAAAGAAAAACACCCACAATCCTCCACACAAGATAAGACAATTTTCACTTCAAAAAGCTTTTCAGTTAAAGTCTAGATCTTGCAAAAATTACCGCACGTGCTAAACTTGTCAGAAGTACTCAGAATAATTCAAGTTGAGCACAAGCACAGCATTGCAAGATCACTGATAGAGGAATAGGAAGTCACTCACTTGACAGATACTGAATTAAGAGAGAGAAACATCAGTCCAGTTCTCCAAGTGAATTAGTTTACACAACCATGCAGAAACCAGATTTTTGCTGATGGTCCCTACCTGGAAGTCTGTGTGACTTAAAGACTTTCTTTTTTCCTGAGACTCTAGCAACAGCATCCAGAAATTTTTGTAAAAGGCTATGTATTTAGTACCAAGGCAAAGATACATTCTTCTGATAATAAAACTACTGTGGTGGATACTATGGTCTTCAAAAGAAAAATAAATGCATAAATAAACACAAAACAATATTCAGGTTCCTTAAAACAGGACCATCATCAAAATGTTCTGAATATCAAAATATGCCTTAACCATCATGCCATCTTCTTCCTCATATCTATTACACATAAGTAAGACTCTGAGTTCTCTTTAAACTGCAGTTTCTGCAAATTTAAACTGACAAATTTAAACCAACAAACACTGACAAACAAATTTTATTTGCATAGGATGACTACAAGTTTTTCTTCAATTGGATATTAAGCTATTTACAGCATTAAACACTTAAGATGAGCAAGTAAAATTATTTCAATCATTGTTGTTGAGCTCTACCAATAAGATAAATATTGAATATTTATGGCCACATCTCAAAGGGTACACATAGTTCACTCAAATTTTCTGTACATAAGCTTCTTTTATTAATTTTTCATCACTTGATTGGTTTGCTTCACCTTTCATTCTCACAGTCAGATAGAATATGGCTTGTCCTCAGAAGTGATTACTTCTACCTCATATACAGCAAGTGGTATGTTAGCTGCTTTCATCCAAAATTATATTATTGCAAAGATTAGAAGAATTAATCTATTCTAATTTACAGACTGAAAGCAGAAAAAAGCTATTATTTAGGGAGAATGAAAAAAAGAGACAAAACTAATTTGTAAGACGACTAATATCCTAAATCTTAAAATGCTTCTGTACAGGGGTTTTTCACAATAACAGTGCTTTTTTTTTTTTTTTTTTTTGGATATTGAAATGCAATTAAGTACAAAACAGCAGTATCAAACAGAACTAGGCCAACTTCTCAGAAAACTAACCCAAAATGATAAAATATCTCTAAAACTAACCGAAGACAGCAGCCCAAATCACCTAAGTCTTGCTCTCATTATCAAAACAAAGAATGCGGCTGTGTTGAGAGGCATTAATTATGCCTTCACCTCTACCTGGGAGACTGCCTTGATAGAAGCCTCCTTGCAAAACTGATTCAATTCTGCTAACAAGGACTAAATCACAGGTGCAGTGATATTTTAAGTTTTATTCTCAGCACACCTAACTTAATGCCCAGAGCACCACTACGATGAACTCGTTTTTGATGATGGGACTCCTTAATCTCTACCTGAGAGAGAAGGCCACACACGAACTCCTGTTGAAACCCCTTATCCGCACTATCACACCTTTGACACAGCAGAAACCTGGCGCGATGGCAACTCGGAGGCAGCACGGGCTGCCTGTGCCCAGGACCGCGATGCGGCTCCGTCCCCTCCCACGCTCTCCCACACAGCCGCGGCCCTGGAACGGCCATTTCATTCCCCCTGCCCCAGCATGCGATCACACTCCAAAACGAGGCCGAAATTCCATGTCTCTAAACCAAACTGAATACATTTTTAATCAAAACACCTTAAACTCCCTGAAGCAAGCAAGGAAAAGAGAATTCCTCCTACTCCTTACCACAGCATAAATAGGAGAAGGTGCAGGGCCCAGGAACTCAGGCAGCGGGAGCCCGCAGGCCGCACCGAACATATCAAACGACTATAACAAAATTTTAAAAATCCTCCAGCCCCGCGACGGCAGCAGGAGCCAAAGGGTCCCCGAGAAGCTTCCCCCTGCTCACCTTGAAGTAGATTTCGTCCACCACCTCGTGGTACGTCTTGAGCTCGTAGAGCTGCACCTTGAAGTAGGGCGAGGAGAGGATGTTGGTGAGGATCATGGGGTTGAGGTTCATGGTCTTCTCGTTGCCCCAGAGCGGCAACACGTTGCCCTGCTTGCCCGAGGCCGCCGGCTTGGGCCCTCCGCTCTGCAGCTGCTGCTGGGCCGGCAGCACGCAGCCCGCCTGGTGCTGGGCCGCCTGCTGCCCCTGGCAGTTACCGGCGCCCACGGCGGGGCTGTTGTTGGCCATGGCGGCTCGGGACGGCGGAACGAACCGGGCCGAACCGGACCGGGCCGCGCCGGACCAGGCCGCACCACAGCGCGCGCGCTGCCGAGCCGGGCGCTGCCTCAGCCGACTGCGAACAAGATGGCGGCCGCGGCGGAAGTGACGGCTTCGCCTTCCGGCCCCGCGCCGGCCAATCGCTATGGCGGGAAGTGGCGGGAGGGGGACGCAGGGCGCGCGCGCGGGGCGGCCGTTAACGCCCGCGAGGCGGCCGTTAACGCCTGCGAGGGAGCGGCGTGGCCAGGGCGCTGGAACAACCCAGTTGTCACTAAAATCCACCTCGTAGGTGAGCCGAGCTTGAGTCTTGCAGGTTCTGTCTTACTGTTTTCACGGGTTTCCAGTAGTTTCTCTTTTTTTTTTTTCTTTTTTTTTTTTTTTTTTTAAATTATGTGCTTCTAAAAATGTGGAGAAGAAAAGCCTAGTTGCATACTTTAGTGTCAAGTTTTAACATGAGGTACAAAAGGCAGGCTGGATGTCTCCCTTAAGATAGGGAGGATTGCGAAAGGATTATAAACATCAACTGGTTGTGCAACAAAATAAATTAAGTTCCATGGTCTGCAAAGTAGAGCAAAATTAATTAAGGTGTATAACAGTCCCGGGCTGCTTAGCTCCTCAGGAAACAGGTGGAAGGATGGATTTATATGGATGCATACATTCAAGTAACAGCTGTACATGAGTATTGCTTAAAAGTAGTTTATTGATTTCAGAAACAAGGAGTTGGGCATAAAAGTGGAATACTTATTGTTTTCATTACACATTGACCTTTGAATGCCTGGGAGGCAGTTACTCATCTTCCTTAGTCTGTCCCCTAAATAAACCTTAGGACAGTGCTTCTACTAAAGCAAAAGACAGTTTGCAGACAGTCTTGCCTGGATTTGACAGCTAACAGTTTTGCTGAGCTGTCCGTTCCACTATCGAGTCTCTGCTTTCACTCCTGGTTTCCAGGAGCAGCTTTACACTCTGCTCTTGGTCTGTTCCTGCCCTGTTGCCTGATTTCCAAGGATGGTCACCAAATGAGAACATTAATTACGTACTACAGAACGTCACTGTGCTGACCCCTCACCACATCTGCAGTAAATACCTGCTTTATCTTACATGAAATTAGAGGAGCAAATCTCAAAATGAATTCTATAAGACAATGCTAAAGCAATAACATAATCCTATTTTGGGACAGTTTGCTCTGGAGCAGTTTCTCTTCACATCAAAGCATTTTGTTTTTCTAATGAGACAATCTGTCTCAATGGATTACCAATCTCAGGACATTCAGAGATGCCTCTAGAGCTTTGTATACATGTTTTCTTTCCATTTTGTCATTGTGGCAAAAATCTTCTGAGTTAAAGTCTTGTCAAATGGCTTACGTGACTTGGCTAGTTAAATTTCCTTTTAAAATAGAAGTAATAAAGTAGTAATTTTTCTTTGAAGCTCTGTGCTTTTGCTGTCAAGAACTCAGATCTTTGAGTATCTCCTTCATTTTTGTTAATTACTTCAAGACATTCTGTTTTTCAGTTATAATTTCTATTATCCAAATTGTTTACTAATGCATTTATCTTTTCCTGTTAGAATGTTTATTTATTATGTTTTAGTAACTTAGTGTCTTTTCTCTGTGTAAGATAACATGTTCCTACTTCAATCCCACTTTGGTGGTAATGCTGAGGTCTTTGGGGTAACTGCAGCCATTTGTCCCAAATTAGATTTTCTTCCCTCAGGCATCCCAGCTGGTCTTCATACAGAACCAGAGAGAAAATAAAAACAATCAGTCAAAAGGAGATTTTTGATCCACAGACTAGTAAAGGATTATAGATAATTATACGGAAAGAAGATGATAGCAATTTGGGTGTAAGATCCCAGCCACACTTTTCATTCATATAAATAAATTTATAATTTGTGTTGGACAAGCCTTATCTATTGGTTGAAGCTGGGGAAAAAGGTGGTAGCGTTTAGTCATTAAACATGCTCTGAAACTCATTTGAGAGGAAAGATTGTTGGCTTCTGAATTATAGATAAAGCGGTATTACTGTATGTATTTTCCTTTCAAATATCTGTACAGAGCAGTGTCTTTTGGTAGGGTTGCTGTATTAGATTTCTTTAGCAATCGCTTTAAATTAAATACTTTTCAGCTTTAAAGTACAAGAATGGCATGCATCTGTCTGTCTTCTTTTCACTCAAGTTACTGAAGAAATGAGTTTCGGCAATTTATAATTTCTTCATTCGTGATTTTTTAGTGCTGTGAGGTACTTTTAGTATACTTATGTAATTTGTTGCTTTCTCTGCATTATGGAACTAATGAGAATGTCTAAGAACTCATTAATTTGGAAACTTATTAAAATGAATAAACCTTGAATATTGTGTTTGAAGTTGCAGATTGTAATGTGAAAGATAACTTTGAATTGACGTTCCCTGAGAAACCTGGTTGAATTAGATCTGCTTCAGATGTGGCTTTGACTGGATAATCTCTGGAGGTATCTTCCAACTTCAAAATTTCAATGATTCTCTGTTGGCTAGGTAAGTGTACCACTGCATAACATAAACACTTTAGAGTAAATCAGAAGAATTCACCTTTTTGCAATGAGACAATAATAGAAAGAAATTTTATGTGATGGAGTGTGGAATAAGCAGAACAATTTTCCACAACCTTCTTATGGCAAGAAAAAGAGCTCAAAGATGCTAGAGTCATCAAAGCAAATTGTCAGATTAAAACTGTTAATAGTGTTCACTATTCCTTTCACACTGTAAGTTTTCACAGGTTTCCATCTCTAACTTATTTTCATTATCTAATATGGAACAATCAAGATAGGATATTTTAGTGATTATATGGTTTGATAGTCCAGAAATTACAGAAAAATAATAATGTTGAACAAAATTTCATGAACAGTGATAGTTTGGTTGGTGAGGGCTTGCAATCTATTTGGATTTTTTTGCATGGCCAAATTTGGTTGTACAATTCCATTTGTTCAGGGAATAATTCTCATAAAGTCTCTTGACTGGTCCAGTAAATTGATTTTGTCTTTTACTACGTTTTGCTTTTCAGCAAAGCACACTGCAACTGAGATAAGAGAGTGAGTTGTCTAACTTGTGAAAAGTGAATGTTTTTTAATGGGATATTCCCCCACCAACATTGATTTTGTATATACTTTAAAATAAATTTGCCATGCAAGTGGAGATGGACAATACTGCACATCTCTCTCTCTCTCTCTCTCTCTCTCCATATATATATATACATATATATAAATAAATTGTTTACAATCCAAACTGTACTTGGGAATAGAAACTCTTAGGCAGCCTTACATATCCCATAGTTAGCACTTCAGCTGTTACAACAGACAAAAAGCATGTGTAATTATACTAGACCATTCTGTAATCTACCACTCAGAAACAAACATGAATACAAAGATCAGTGATACTGTATTCCAAAACCTGAAAAAGAACCTCAAACATAACAGAGTTGCAGTCACATGAGACAGCTGAAAGACTTGATTTGACTGTCAGTTTGCAGGCACGCTTGCAAACATTTGCTGGATACAGAGTAAACAACAAAGGGAACCTGCTGCTGACTGTGTACGCTCTGTTGAAGCCACATCTTGTGAAACTTAAAATACTGTCCAAGACTTCATTTTAAGGCACCATAGGCAGGTATTAGCTTATTAATTTCTGATATTTTCTGAAAGATAAATAAAAAACACCGCATTGTGATATGGTATAATTAAAAATGTTCTGTGAACAATTAAATTACTTTCTCCATTAAAAAAAAAAATTATCTACAAAGGTAAATCTCTGTAGAATGTGTAATCCATATATGGAAGAGACATCCAAAAATATATGAGTTCTGTTTTTAGGACTATTTACAGTTGCATCTTCTCCATCATCACTGCTACCAGAATCTTCACTCCTTCCTATAAGTCACAGACATATAAAGCCAGTACAAACGTTAATGCTGCTTGCTATATGGTAGTCCCATCTTATGATTAGCACTTTGCATACTTATTAGTAGAAAAGAACAAATCTTGCCCTCCTTCCCTGGGCTATAAAACGGAAGTCACAGCAGGTGGCTGCTCTTGTGAGGCTGATGCCCTTACAATAAGCAGCAGGTCGCGGGGTGGCGTGAGGCAGTCAAAACAGGAGGCATTCCTGCTGCAGCACCCAGAAAAAGCCTCTGGCACTCAGTGCCGCTCCAAAAACAGGCTGTGATTTTTCACTGCAGAGTGGGGCCGGAAAAGGCACTGCGCCGCGGGATGCTGCAGGGGGAAGGTGGAGGGAGGCGCCTGAGGAGATGCTGGCACGGGCGGGTGGCCAGGTGATGAAATGGCGGCGGCGCCGGGCGCTGGCGGCCCCGGGGGAGGCGAGTGCAGGCGCTCTGCCCCGGGGGAGGCCAAGCAAGGGCTGCCCGTGCTGTACGTGACCAGAGCCCGCCCGCGCCAAGTGTCATGTCAGGGAGGTGTGTGTGCCAAAACCTAGTGGAGCTGGGGCTGTGCTGCTGCCTCCGCCTCATGCCACTCGGTTGCTGATAAGACCCCATGAACAGCAAGGTTTGCAGGAAAGCTGAAGCCTCCTGCATCTTTTTGTGTTGCGCAAGTGGCTACTCAGATCTTCCCTCTGCTAGTTACTTGGCAGAAAGCGTACAGAGCTGTGCAGACACAAATCCGGGTATAAAGTCATCCAAACACCAAGGTAAACCCAGCAATAGGTGAGGGACAGTCACCTGGAGCAAGTGTTAACTTTTCAGCACCTGCTTGAAAAGGTGAGAAAAACACATTGTAGTGGGTGAACATTACGTGTGCTGAATTGAGAGTGACAGCAGTTACGAAATTGTATATGATTTATAATTGCTTTATGTAAAGGATATTCACGTCCTTATAAACAAGAGGGAAAGCAGCTGGAGCCCAGTTTTACTTCTTACATTCATAATGTTCTCCTAATAGAAATGGGATTGGGCGTGCCCTGGCTTAATTGTGAGTTGAAAAACACACCAAAAAAAGCAAACTATATGATTTGATATATTATAAAATTTTTCAGAAAATATATGTGTTTTTAATTTCAGCATTATAAAAACACTATGGATAAGAATGTTCAAGAAGAGCGGTTTACAGAAATGATTAAATTCACACCTCCTTTGTACAAACAACGTTACCAGTTCATCAAAGACTTAGTGTGGAAATATAAACCGAAGAAGGTTGGTATATTTTGTCTTTTTGCATTTTCTGTCTAAAAAAAAATGCAAAAAGAGCATAGGAAATGCCTAGGTAATCTCATGACATAGTTAGCAAACAGCAGTACTTTAAGAATTGTTACAGGGTACATTGTTGGTGACTCTGTTTCGTTGTTCGGTGATGCATACTATTAATGGTAAGTGATGGGAAGAGGAGGAAAATATTAGAAACAAGAAAAATGCCGTAATGTTCTATTCTTGATGAATAAAGGGCATTCTAATTTTGATTTATGATTTGAGAGCCTTGTGGCTTTTGGTTCTCCCCTGTTTTTTCTTTCTGGAGATGATAGTCCCTGTACAGTATCAGGATCACATGGATGTCTTCATGTTAGAAGTGACTCCTTTGTTAAAATTATCCCCCATTTCCACCCTCCTAACCACATATTGCAGTACTTTTCAGTATTCTGGAAACAGGACATAAGAAGTGCCGTCTAATGGTTGCTCTTTTGTAAATGATCTCCTCCCCAGCACCTCCCTCAGAAACCCAGAAACCTGAGAATTAATGCTCTCTTCAACTGTGAAACCAATTTAACACTTCTAATGTATTAGGAACCGTGCAACCAGTTGATGAGAAATGGAATGTCTGTGCGATCACATAATCATATTGCTTGTACCTGCTGATCCACTCCATGAGGTCATGGCATTCTGATCTGTTTTTAAATTGAACATACTGAGGAGTACTGTGTCTTTTTTAAGGATCTGAATCTCATGTTGTAAGATGTGAAATGCTTTCTTTTTTTTTTTTTTTTTTTTTTTTTTGTGGAGTGTCAGGAAAAGGGGTACCCTCTGAGCTCTGCTCACAGCATAGAGCTACATCAGAAAATGCAGGATTTTCACTTTCAGAACTGAGCAGTGTGCTTCAATTTGGATTTACAGAGAACTTGAGAGAAAAAAAGTGTTGTGCGTTGCATTCCTCTACTTCTTAAGCTCATAATGAAACATATCACATATTTGATGTTGTGATCAGAATGTCCTCAGCCACTTGAACATTAGATTGAGACTATAAAGTTATCTTTATGTAGATCCTTTGCTACCTACCTGGTTCCTGGTGAGCCTACTCTAAATGTTTTGCATGGCAGTGAAAAGCAGTGGTCAGTGGACATCTACAGCAAATTCTTAATTCCTACAGATTTAACAGTCAAAATCATACTTCAAGTTATTTTAGGGAATATGCATTCATGTGGGAGTCCTTCTTTGGAGAGAGGAGAATGTTCTACATGTACTTAGTTATATGTGTGATAAGAAAAAGACAACCTCTTCAGAATACCATGTAGGACTTTTGTATTATTATGCTTTAAAAGTAATTTTCAGAATCATGTATTTTGTAGCATCAAACAATATGTTTTAGTTACAATTGCCTTTTTGTCATAAAAATGTTATTTTGCTGGAAATACAGAATATATATTAATGAAAGTGTAAAATTACTTAAAACATTAACATTGTTACACTTTGTTTAAAATCTAATTTGCAGGTAGCAGATTTGGGCTGTGCTGACTGTACTCTTCTCTGGATGCTAAAATTCTGCAGCTGCATTGAAGTGCTAGCTGGATTAGATATCTGTGAGAATGTGATGAAAGAGAAAATGTAAGCTCTTGCATTATTGTGTTTATCTAAGGCTTGACCTAGTGGAATGTGACATCATTTCTTGTCACAATTTTCTGAACAAGGGTAAATGCAGAAACAGCAGCTCTGCAAATGCAGAGCTGTCTCCTGGGGGCTGACTTGCTGCATTAAGAGCGGTGTCAGGTTTATTAGGGAGGCTGTGGGCTGCCCTTGCCTACACCATTGCCTGCTGCAGCAAAGCTCTAGGCCATGGTATGGCTCAGCAGGTAAGTACGTATCGGGTACACACTGAGTTTGTAGAAATGCTAAAACATTAGATATGGCTGGTCTTATTAGTTCTGCTTATGCTCATATATGACGTTACTTTGGGATCTGAATCTGATCTTTTTAAAATGTGTATGTAATGCTCCTTTGACGACCATGGCGTGGACTTCATTCTTGTAGGATATAGTGCAAACAGCTGTCAGAACCTTTCTCAACAATGAAGAAAATTGAACTTTTACCAAACTGAATGTTCTTATGTTTTACTTATCTGATACCATATATCAGAGAAAATACGTGTGCATTTCAGTTCTCATTTGGTTTTTATTTGGAAAACGAAAATAAGATTTTGGAAAATAAAAATTAGGTTAACATGCATGCCTCGTATCTTCCAAAAAAAAAAAAAAACCTCAAAACTTTATAAAACATGTCCAAATGAGTTTTACTGCATTTCTAGTAGTTGAGCTACTACCAGAATTTACAGCATCCACTCCATTTAAAGAGGGAGAGTAGAGTGTGTTTCAGTTTGTTTGTTTTTCAAACACAAAGGACAACTGCTGGATTAACTTCTTTGCTCTTTGTGTCCTGTTATAGATACTCATAAAGAGCTTGTTCGCATTAGAGTTTTTTTTCTTTTAAAAGAATAAACTATTAAGGTATTTTACAAAGTATCCAAGTAGGACATGTACTAGTACAGTTGATACAGTTATACAGTTGACTAGCTCAGGGCCTTGATGCCACTTTTTTTATTCTCTGTAGGCATAGGTTGTCTCCCCTTCCAGGTGACTATTTGCAACCAGCTGAACGATCTCTAACTGTTACCTTGCACCATGGCTCTGTTGCTCATAAAGATCCCTGCATGCTCGGTTTTGACTTGATAACGTGCATTGAATTGTGAGTATCAGCCCAATACACTCCTCCTTCCTTTAGCATTTGCTTATGGATGTTTGCAAGAAGATCGGAACTCCAGACTTCTTGCTGTACTTTATTTTCTTTGGCGTAGTACTTAAGTGTTGTTCACCAAGTTAACAAGGACTGAATTCTGGAATCTAGGGCCATAAGTCTATACAAACCTGATTGTCTCTTTGAAGCAGAACGCTATCAGAAGGTGGCACCTTCAAATTTTGCTCTAATTAATTGCATTAAGAAATTGTAGCAATGCTAGTTCAAGGTGGAAAAAAGAATATGCATCAAAGAACAAAATGCAAGAGAGCCTATTCTCAGACAAAAAACAATAATGATAGTCCTAATATTGCAGACCTAGGCTGCAATAGCTTCCAAGCTACAAGTAGGGTTTGGGTTTTTTTGGTTGTTTGCTTTTGTTTTGTATTTTGATTAGTTATCATGAAGATTTAAAAAACTCTGTTAAGGTGTTTTTCATGCAAAAACTTGTGCTTTGCAGAATAGAGCATCTGGAAGAACCAGAACTGGAAAAGTTTCCTGAAGTGGTGTTTGGTTTCATGGCTCCAGCAATGGTTGTGATAAGTACCCCAAATTCAGAATTTAACCCGTTGCTTCCAGGAGTGACACCTTTCAGGCACCCAGACCACAAATTTGAATGGAACCGAGCAGAATTTCAAAGCTGGTGAGTTCACTGAACATCATATGCTGACAGCTTTGAACACCAAATAATGTAAGAAAGGCATAGCTATAGTTTCACTGTAAATGAAACTGCATTTTCTGGGTAGGGTTTCTCTGTGTCTTTACTGGAGAAGTTTCAGAACTACTGAGTTAGTTGTACATTTTCTTGCTATTACAGTATAAATAGTTAAGTACACTGTGGGGGTTGCATTTTATGATTCTTTTAGGTTGATTTGTTTTTATTGTAACTACTCTGCAAAAATATTTAAAAGCTTTGTTTTCTCTGTTTATGCATATTTATTAGCACTTATACAGTAGAAGTATAAAGTATGAAATAAGCCTTTTTACATAATATACTCCAATAGAAATGCTTCGTAAACTACTCAAAACTATGCTCGCTTAGTTACTCTGCAGTTGTATGAAAGAATATGCAAGCAAATTCATCAAATATTCATAGCAGAGCATGTGGAAAAAAAATAATGATGTTTTAGTGGATTAAGCACAAGAAAAAAAAATCACTCAACATATGAACGTGACTGAGTTTGCACAAGATATGTATGAATTAGAATTACTGAGTTCCCTCAAGGAAGAATATTTTTGGAGCTTTAAGTGTAAGAATTTGCTTTGTGAAGTATGTGTATTGCAGTAACCTCTAAAAGAAAAAAAGAAAAAAGTAAGAAATAAATTCAATTGGTATGTCCTCAAGGAGAATGTAGCAGGTAAGTAGAGGCATTTTAGTTCCCTGCCTCCTGGTCCTATCACTCATTTTGTACTGGTTGTACAGTACTACAAGATCATTTTTCATTTAGATGTCATGTGCATTGTTGTAACCGTGAGCTGGTAGACTTTGTTCTTTCTCCATTTAGAACAAACCTCACTTTTTTCCCATTCCACTATGAATATCCTCCTGTGGCTTTTGGGATGGGTGTGTATGTTTTAAGGGTTCCTCTTCAGTAGTTTTGTGCTCTAAAACTGCTAGCTTCTTGTACACAGCTGATTTTTGAATGTTTTTAAGATAGTAAACAACTCGAAATATGCATRTTCTGTGTAGATATTTTAGATTTTTTTCGTTACTGAAGTTATTAATATTAAATGATTCCGAGCATGATAGGAATATGAGTGCAGCTGTGATTCAGCAAAAGTCTTGATGTTGCTTATCTTTGAGCATGTGGGTAATACTTTTAAAGAAACTGCTTGAGCCTTCACAGCATCAGGATCTTACTTCTCAGAGAGAGAGTGAGTGCTTATCACATTAAGAGGTGAATATTTAGTATGATCAGATTATGTTGTTTTTCTCAGGGCACTAAATATTGCTAGATCCTACGATTACTCAGTGGAATTCACTGGTGTAGGGCCCCCACCGACGGGAATGGAGGAAGTTGGGTTTTGTACCCAAATAGGGGTGTTCATAAGAAAATATTCCCAAACAAGTGAAACTGCCCGTTTTGAGAAACCCACCAAAGCAGCTTACAAAACTGTAAGTATTGTTTCTGTTCTTTAGGAGAATTGAAAAAAAAAAAACTGACTGTACAGTGTTCTTAGTACTACTATAATCTATTCTTGCTACTGGGTCTTAGCTTTGCAACATGCCCTAAGTCTATGTGCCATAATTATACACAGACCTTTAGCTTTTAGATTTTTACCTAAATAGTAATAAGCAGAAACATTCATATTTTAACATGCTGTCACTGCCAGAGTGAAAGTTCTGCTTTTCTCTAGATATAGTGACACTGTTTATAGAGTCATTCCTGTAGTCATTCTTTTTTTTTATCATATAGCTGTAAAAGTCATTAGTACGCAATACAGACTGTTTCAGATGCATTAAAACAAACATAATAAAAAAAACCTTCTAACAGGGAACATATGTTTTGAAGGACTGCATAGCCTCATCAGATATGTTACTGGAAAGCGGGCGCTTTGGTGAAACTGCCCTGGCAGGGCCTGTCCTTGTAATACTTCACATCTTCATTTAAGAAAAATGCATCAAGTCACTTGTATTTATCTTTTGTAGCTTCTAAAGACATTCCATAGGCCTGAAATCTCACCTATTTGTTATAGTCTTTATCAGAATACTGAAGTACTTTTTAGTCCTCAAAAATGAACTTAGAAAATGTTTAGGCACCTGACGTATTGTATTGGAAATTGCTTTCATCATGTTCCCCTTGAACATTCAACATTAACACCACTTGTGTTTAAACAAGAAAACCATCGTATCTTACTATTTCTTACGAAAACCTAACAATTTTTATTTTATTAGGTAATCCTTTTAGGAGAATAAAAGTACATTTTAAAATCTAATTGGAAAGTAATATTGTCATAGACTGTGCAACTTGGTGATGGTATAAAGTGCTGCCTAATAGCTAGGTGCAATGAGGTTGCCTGCATAGTTTTCTTACTTCCCTTTCAGTATAGCTCAGTGTAGAATATACTGTAGTTGATTTTGATGTGGCTCTTATGTTTTTTGAAAGCATTTTTTGCCTCTGAAAGAGCAGGTTTTCACATTTTACTCTGAACACTGGGTAAAAGGCATAGTTGCAATCACTGTTCATGACAGTTCAGAAGCAGTTCAGAATCTATTTAGCTGTAGGACTATCACCAACTTCTGATGATCAGTAATACAGAAAATAAGAGAAAGACTAACAAGAATTAAGGAATTGCAGGGCTTCACCTGTCTGATCTTCAAGTATAGCCTGCTTTCTGAATTTTGCTATCTTTTCTAATTGCCGTTGTGATTGTGATGTATAATAATCCAGTGACACTATCTAACTTCCTGTAACCTTAAAAGCCAAAAAGGAAACAGGATTGAATCCGAAAATATAATGACATTTTAGAATCTCTTTTTAACAAAAAGTTGTTGAGATACAAATCAGTGATAATGATGGGGTTTTTTTATGTGTTCTTGTATGTTGTGAAGGTCTTCAAAGCAGTGTATCCAAGTCTTAAAGATGAGAAGTACCTGCAGATTGCAGTGGTCAGTGAAGTTGTTTTCACAGCACAGGTAATTAAGCGAAATCTGCTGGACCATTTACATTCAGAACATGAGGAGTATAGTGATGGTCCTGTTGAAATAAAGTCTAAATCCCAACATTCAGAGAACTGTGTTTCAGAAGAATTGGCTGTTGAAAAATGCATGGAGCCTTCTGTCAGTGGAAATGTAGTTTACATACCTCTTACAAAAATATTTTCTTTTCCCAAAGTGAATCAACTTTGTGGCACATTTGAGAAATTATACAAGCTTATTGCTGACAAGGTTACACTGAGCAGTGATGGTTCTGCTATGGTAGTTGATATTGAACAGGAATACGAAGAGGAAGAGAATTAGACTTCAGATTATTCATACAAAGTTCAGTTAAAGCAGTGAAGGTATTGTTTGGTTTGTTTTTGCAACTCAAGCCTAAATTAATAGTTCTGGCAAAAATCACTAAAACACCACATTCTTGAATATGCATTAGCAGAAATGGGTAGAGTTGTACATTTTCTCCAGTTTCTTAACTGCTGCTGGGGAATAGCTTGCATGCTGCACCTCCCAGAAGCTGAGTTTGCTTAATTGGAAACTGGTATCTCAGACTCTCCTGTTTTTGAAAAAAAAAAAAAAAAAAAAAAAAAAACTGTCAAAAACTAGTGCCTGTGTTTGGGGAAAAAATCCCTTCTCATGTGCAGTTATTGTCAAAAAAATGCAGAAGTATCAGCAGAAATAAAAAGCATAGATGTTACTGACAGTGGCTTGTCTGAAGAGAGTTGAATTGTGCATGTGAATACACAGCAAACTCTCGTGTTAGACTCTTGACTTTTGAGATCTGAACTGTTGAAGGGTGCAGAGGACTGGCACCAGCTAACAGGGGTAGTACAGTTACACAACTGTAACTTTGAGTTTCTTCTCGTACTCCAAATACAGAATTTTAATATGTTACCAGAGAGTAACATATTAAAGAGATGGTTAAAGAGTTTACTTAAGAGTAAAGAGATGGTTAATTAAAAGGTCTCCCTCCTGATACATTTCACCATTCTTTTTTGGCAGCCTTGAATGAACAATTATTAGAGAAACTGACATCATCTTGGTGAAACATGAAAGTTTCACAACTTCCCCAAAATAACTAGTCTTTTTAAGGGCTGACTGTATTCTTTAAGTATTTGGAAGTTGCTGGTATTGGTTCAAGTGCAAACCAGACATAAAGGGAAAGTTCTCACTCGAGAAAGGGTTGATGGTAAGTCTGGATTTTTGAGCTTCAGAGAAAGAGGAAGGATGTGCAGTGCTCTGTCATACAGAATGATAAAAAAAAAGCTCCTTTAATCTCTTCTGTGAAATAAGCCACTTTCTTGGTGGGAGAAAGTTAATAAGAAATATTTTTTAATAAAGTATTTAGAATGTTTTTTTTAAACACTCTGATACCAACCTGCCATTAGCTAATGGGTTAAGTGTTGCCGGTTGACCATAGGTACAGTTGCATTGGTGACTTCTTAGAAAATAACTGTTTTTCACTGCATGGGTTCTATACTTACATGTTTAGGCCATGGTAGTGCCTACTTCTCATGCAGTTCCCTCTTGTTTATATTTCTTTATTTAGCAAGGACAAAGAAAATAGAAGATTCCAGACCTGCCATAGTTGCCTTTGAGTCTGTGTTCAGCTAATATTTGATTAAACGCTTATGCATATTTGTGAATAAAAGGAATGGGTTTTGTGCCCTACTTAAACTGCTGTTTTTGAAGCAGAGAAAGGTCAAGACGGTGTTTTTGTTATTATGGAGAAAAGAAGTATATGCAGACTAAATGCTTTAGCTTACCTAGATTAGAGATTTACAGACCAGGAGCTGGCMCACCCTCTCTGGAGGAAACAACCTTAGTTTGTAGTAATATTTAAAATCCAAAGTGAATCTGTTATTCACCCTTTTGATCGAAACATCCTGAAATAAGAAATACCAGCCATTTATGACTGTCAGGGGGTTTTTTGGAAATAAGCTGATTCTGTAACGCATGGAGGATAAGACTAGGTTTAGTGCTTGCTCATTTTAATATTTGTTCTAATTGCTTTACGTGATGACCTATATTCATTTTTATAGCCAGGAGCTATACATAACTTCCATGCTGCTGAAGATATTTAGCCCTTAAGAGTAGGTATTACGTTTAATAAGCTGCAAAGGAAAATTGAGAAAAAAAAAGACATTTTCCTTTAATGTTTAAATTTGCAGTCTTTCCATTAAAAAAATAAACCGATTCCAAGCTTAAGACATGACTTTATTGAATCTTGTGCATTATGTACTCAAAGTAAAAAAAAAAATCCAAACAATCTGATCCATTTAAAACATTTTACAGAAAATACCACATGTAAGTATGAAGGTCATATTCCTCTTACAAAATACACACTACTATGGAATCTCCTCAGCAGTGGAGCTCAATGTGTGAACAATAAAAATACTGGAATACAGCATTATTAAAATGTAAACTACTCTGTTTAATAAGGCAAGAAAATAACTGGTTTCTAGTAAACAAAATACACAGCTAGTTGACAAACTAGGTATTTTAAACACAAAGAAAGCAAATCTTGACTATGAAAACATCATTAGAAATTAGATAAATATTTGTATAATGTTTGTAAGAGCAGACTTTAACTGTATGTGTCCCCACCCTCCCAAAAAAAATAAGTAGATGACCTCCTAACTAATAGGTGCTTTTGACAGGTTTCTCAAAAGTGTGTCACTGTTCAGGAGTACAGAAAGCAATATAACTTCCAGAACTCTCATGCATCTTTTGACTTGAAGTAGGATTTTTGGGTTTGTTTAAAGTTCTGCAACAGGACAGGAAAAAAAATCATGCTTTGAGAAACAGCAGAATAGTACCAGTTATTATGCATTTTCTGTTTTAAAATTCTTATACAAGATAAAACATACAACTCCATAAATACTTTTGAACATTAGACATCAAACAGGTTGTAATAGGAGGTTAAATACCTGATATCAATGAAAACCTTCATTCTTTATAAACAGACTGAAAAGCGGTACTGTATAACTGACACTAAGGGAAAATAACAGTTGGCAGTAATTTATCTCAGCCAAAGGCTGAACATAAAATACAGTAAAAACTCATTTTGCAACTTTTTTTCCCCCCAGATTCTTTACAAATCCTAACATTCTTTTGAACAAATGATAATATGATAATAGAATCTACTGCCAACTTAAAGTTTTGCTTAATTAACTTAATATGTGGTGAAGGAGTTCGGGTTGCCTTTGAGATAAGCTAGCCCTGGTGCTGCTGTTTTCTTAGGAAGAACAGACATTGTCAGGTTGATAACAAGTTTCTGTATTTCAAGCAGTAGATTGAAGATAGAAACATTCTCAGAAGCTGAAAATTACTAGTATTTGTAGATGGACAAGAAAAAAATAAAATGAGCAGCTGATCAGTATCAAACCAGTTATCTAACTTCTATCAGTAATTCTTCATGAAGCAGAAAAAATGACAATTTAGAGAAACAGCATCTGTAGTCATAGGTCATTCTCACCACATTTATAATATTTATTCCTTCCTCTGGTTATTGATGGCTAAAAAGCTTTTACATACAATCTACTGAATTTCAGAGGAGGATAGAGAAGTAAGCTTTGCTCCACTATCAGTAATTTTGCAGTTAATAATGAAAATGAACATTTTATAGCAAAGTCAGAAGTGGCAATTACTAGGTCCTAGACCACTTTTACAAAGTGGTCATAAATTAATAAAAAGACCTTTCACTTGACTTGGAAATAGAAATATCTAAACACTTCCTTTAAATAATTATAGTATGTAAACACAGTAAAAATTTTTTGCACATATTTCTTTGCAGACCATTCACAGCAGCTAACATACAATTTTTGTATTTGCATTGAACCTGTTGGAATAGTCCAAAGTAAAGATAATGAATGGATGAAAAAGCATGTAAGTACCATAATTGAGAAAGAGCTCATTTATCATATTTAATACTACTCAAATGTTAAACTCTAATTTCCTTAAAGATCTAAATAAGGAAAGATTTACTATATTATGAATTTATGGAAAATAAAACCTGTTACGCAAAGCTTTTCCTACTTCCAACTAGTAAAAAGGAGCTACAGCTACAAAAGGATGTCAGATATCAAACGGGAAGAAATTTGAAGCCTTCAGAGCTTTGTCTACACTGTCTCTGTTTTTCTTTAATCCAAGCCTTATTGATACAATAAGTGATAACAAGATTAAGCAGTTTATAATTAAAATACAGCAGATAGAAGCCTGCATTAGAACCTTCTCACCTCATACATCCCTATAAAAATTTATTTTTGTACTTATGTAAAATTTTTGAAGAAATTTCATCTTTTCTGCCACAATCGGCTACTGTGCAAATTTAAATACAGTACATTTACTTTAATGTAATAATGGACAGATGGTGAAGGAATAGACTTTTTACATGAAATGATAGAACTGTTAAACAGTAAAGCTTTTCTCAGAGTTCTGAGATAATGGATAAAGTGCTCTTAGTAAGGTAGAGTAGTTTAATATTTGTCTACTTTTTAAAGCTTAAGTAGAGCTTAATCTCCCTGTACCTTCCTTTTCCCTCAAGGCACCTTCAAAATACAAGCAAAGCACTAAGAAGCTGTAAAGGCTTAAACCCCAGAAGTTCATAGTGGTCTAAGTTATGGACTAGCTTGTTAGACAGTACCATCCATTGCATCTCAAGGCTCTGCATTATTGAAGGTTCTGTGGAAGAAGCTTTCAACTCCAGATTTGAGAATCACAGAGACAAAATAGCTCTCTGGATAATACATTACTGTGCTTTGGTATGTTGCTGTTGTGTTGAATCTCATTTCTTTTGTCATTTACACAAAGCCAGATGTTGCATTTTCATGTGCTTAATCCTCTACGCTTCATTTAGAATTAACAACCTATTATTCAATAATTATTTATTAATAGCTTTTCTTAAATGCATCTGAAGCTCACCTCTACTGTTCTACTGTACAATAAGGTTATGCTCAATACTTAAAATTTTGCATGTTTAAAAAATAATTGGGCTGTGCCATGGATGCCATAGTCCTCACTTCATATTCATTTTAATAAAAGGAATTATCTGCTGTAAGATTAAAATTGCAGGTAGGATCAAATTAAGTCCAGTTAATTTATTCAGGTTAATTTAAGATCGCTTCCTTAATGATAAGGTTTCTTTATAAAAGAAATTAAAAGCAAAGCATATAATATGTAATCCCCTGTATAAAACACTGAAATAGGACACTTGTATCACGCTTCCACAAAGATGTGTCACACAACTTACAAAGCAAGTAATTCACTAACATCTTGTAAAGCTTACAAAACCAGTTTAAGTGCTTACACAAGGCATACCTAGCTAAACATTGCCTTCATACCACAGAACACTGGAAGCTCTATGAGCAAGAGACATTCCATTAATGAAAAAAAGGCACTCCCACCTATCCACCCAACTGCCATTCAGTTCATCTTGGCGTTCACATCTTACAGAGCAAAGAAACTGASGTATCCACTCTAAAGCTCCAACTTGTTTACTCTCTTTGAGCTCTTTAGGTCTAGCGTTTTATCACCACTTGTTCATATGCTCCAGATCCTACTCTGAAAAGACATTTGAAAGACATCAGTTCAGCTCCAGTGTCAATGGAAGTTAAAAAAAGTGAGTATCAGAACAACAATAGGGTATACACTGGAAAAGACAGGGGAACTGTGCATCAGAACAGCAAAGTCTGAAGATTAGAAAACATGAACTGTTACCTTGCTATTGAGTAATCTATAGCATGAGCTAAGAGATTGTGTTGCATACAGTCAAGTACAAGGACAATAATGTTGTAGTAAGACATACAAAAGAAATAGTTGGACTTCCTGGAGCTCCTTAAACATCATTTTTAGGGCAAAATAAGTCAGTATTAAAATACTCAGTAAATTTATTTTTAATGCAAATTGAAAAATGGAAAGGTACTTATAAGCAGTAAGTGTAATCTCTTACACTAAGGTACAAGATAAGTATCTTATCACATCTTAAGAATGGATATACAGAATAACTGTTGTTTAAGATGCACTATTGTTCAATGAGACCCATGGATTAATTATTCAGGCTACATACCTGTTAGGGAGATGATGGCTTCCAAAAGAAGTGCTTCCACCAGGGCCAACAAACAGTCTTAAACCTTCCTCTAAAAATGAAGCAAGTTATCATATGTTAGCTTCCTTTGATAGTGGCTTAACTAAAACTAAGCTGCTTAAAATCGAACAGTTTCCTAAGTGATACTGTGGTGCAAGCATTTTTGACAATGAGGAACTTAACTTCACAAGGTATAGCTTAAAGGAACTTAATTTCTCATAGATTTGCCCACGTTTCTCTTCAGACTTAAAAGTAGTCCTTTGGGAAAGTTACTTAAGTCATGCAAGAGTCTGACCATCTAATTTCTGGGAGACAGAATCAAACAGAAGATTTACTGATCCATATGCATATTCATTATCACCACAAGCAACACAAGCTCTGAAAAAAATTAATTCTCTAAGATCTGTAACGTGTATCAGCTTTTCTCAGTTTCCTTATTTCGCTTCTTACCTTCTGCACTTGAATCTAAACTAAAGTCTTGACTTTGGAGTATTTTTTCAACTATGTCATCTGCATCAACCCTGGTAGCATCGACCCTCTTCAGCTGGGACTCCACAGAATCTTGCTTCACAGGATGCCTGCAAAGATGAATATATGTAGAGCACTAAGAAGTGGTGCACTAAATTACATTTTACTTGTGTGAGATAAGCATTTCAAATTAAATGTACCTGCAGAGTTTTTCTGAGGACTCATCTTTAACAGATGGATCAGAGTTGTTTTCTTCTACTTTTAGGTCACCCTCTTCACATGGCTCTAGAATACTTCCAATTCCCGTTGAGGTGCTCCCCACTGAGGCATCTCTCTTGTGGCAGAGGTCAGAGAAACTGGATGATCTAGAGTGACATGTACTGTACCCTGTTGGAAAACAGGAGAGCTAGGTTATGTATTCTGTCAACAAGCAGGGTCATCACCTTAGTTCTGCTGAGGAAAGTTGTCTTTTAGCTTCTTGAAACGAGACTTCAGGTACACACACCTTCACTTAAGCTTTTATTCTAGCACATGCTGTTTTCTCTGATTCAGATAACTTTATGATTAACTTGGATCTGCTAGTCTAGATGTTTTGATGTTAGGGGTTTTGTTATAAACTCTCTCCCTCACACATCTTTGTTTTGAAAGACAGTTCTGGATATGGTTTTAAGATCCAGCTCAAAAAAGTTTCATTATGGGAAAGTCAGCTTTATTTAATGGATTGTCAAAATGTATAAATTACCCATTTATTTTTGGTAAGTCGAATTTTTCTCATGTGGAAGAAAACATGAATCTGTCCTCTTCATCTTAGATTAAAAAAACACCACTGAAAACACCTCTGATACACTTCAGAGCACATGGGCAGTTCCAGGTTCACTGCTAATACTGTGTGATGACTGAACAGTTTCAAGGTTATAGAAGGAAGCTAGCTGCTTTTCAGAAGAACCATTACTAAAAAGCCTCCTTCTATCAAATACATAGTTTCTGAATTTTTTTCAACTCCCATTCAAGTCATTTAAATGATACCTGCTATCCTGTTCAACATAGTGATATCTAACAGCAACATGAATCCCCAGTCAGTCTGTTCTCTTTGTCTAATAAACAACTCTCGCATCACTACTTCACTTTAAGCTTTATAACTGAGCAAGCATCCATTCATAAATGGGTTGATTTTTCACATAAGGTGAAAATCTGACCTATTACTTGGTGTGACAAAGCTGTGTCACATTACACAAACATGTAATAAATCAAGCTGGTGGGGGGAGCATTACCCTCCTGATTTCTCCTCTTATGAATCTCTCTCCAAACCTGATGCTCTTAAGGAAAATAATTTTTGAAGTCCAAGCTTATTTTAAAACATACAAAATGCATTTATTTTCTGCAGTTCTAAAACAGTGGAAGTTGATAAGAAGCAACAATTTGTACAAAAATTGCTAATGGCTACCTGACAGTTTGGACTGCTGACTTGCATAGCTTGATGTTCTGGAGTGTCCACATGCACCAAGATCGTCTGGGACTGAGGCACTCTTTGCTGAGACATCTGCAACACATGCAAGTAAGATAATGATGCTAAAGCCAGCAGTATTCATACTCTCACTGTAATTGTGACTAGACTCAAATACCATGTTTCCCAAATGTGATTAGGGACTTGACATTTATTCTTTTATTTTTAAATGAATCTCCCAAAGATCTAAGTGCTGCAAAAACAAACAATAATGCCTGTTAAGGAATAAACACTTCCTTAAAAAAACGCCATGGCAAACCTGGAATGAAATATAGGTTCTTCTACACTGTAGATATTAAAGGGATAATGCTTTATGTAGTAAAATGAGGTGCTAGAGGTTTTCAAGTTGAAGTTTCACAAAAGTGACTTTAGTTAGAATAAGTTGTTAGGGGTTAGGGCAGTAATTAACAACATGTTTAAGAGCCTGGAGCTCATAAAAATAAAATTTCCATCTGTAATAAAGAATAATGCTTTATTATTTACATTTCAGAGTAATTATTGAAGTTTGGAACAACACTTAGAGCTCCTATTGTTCAAACAATGACAGCTTTTAAAATGACATTTTAAAACATTTTGGTTTAAGTCAAATTAAAAGGTTTAAGTCATTGAAACTTAGGGGGATACGCATAATTGAAGATTAAGAGCCAAACTGAGTGATAAGTCAAAATATATATCCAAAACAAATCAAGAAATTTGTCTTAAAGACAAAAGGAAAGTTTTTAAACACTAAAAAGAAGCCAAGCTATCAAGCCCATTTCTCTTCTTTCCCCTAAATATATTGTATTACAAAAGTAAATGACTAGCTATCAGCATCCTTTTAAGATTAGAAGTTTTTGTAGGTCTCCTCGAAGCTATGAAGCCAGTTAGCAAAGAATTAATAGGAGCATTTTTTCATACCTGCCATTCCCAGATGGATTGCTTTCAAGTTCTCTCCACCTTTCCTGTCTTCATGCAAAGATTCTGATTCTCCAGGAATTGCTATAGATGTTGCGGTGGAAGGAGGCCTGTAGTAAAAGAACAGCTGAGATTTGCTTCATTTTCCTGTGATCCTTCTAAAATGACCAGTACGTAGACATAACACACTGCCCTTAATCATCCTGCAGCATTGTTCTGGCCTGAGAACATAAGGCCTAAATGTTCAAGGCAAGCTGTGGCTGTTGCCTTGATACATTTTGCAGTCTCTGGAAGGCTTCCTTTTTCCAGTCACTTCTCCAGTCAGAGAAGGCTTCTAGGCTGAAGCCTGCCCCCTTTCCTGGCAAGGGAGCTTCTGGTACCAACTCCATGCATTCCAACTTAAACCTCACGTACTACATGATTTAAGAAATATGACCAAGTTAAAGAAAACTTCCCTTCCAAGCAGTAAAATCAAACATCTAAATTAGAGTTTTCAGTTTTGTACCTAAACTTTTTGCTATCTTATGTCATTTTGACTTTTACAACAGCCTGTATTGCTCTGCCTACAAGTGGTATTTGCTGACATTTTTGCATTTGATCTTAAGCTAACTAGTCTGTACATTAGTATGTGCCTTCTTAAGTTTGAAAGAGGAGAGGTGGGAAGAAGCAGAGCACTCCTGGAATTTTCCTGTGCAAACATACCTATGTGATAAGCATCTAACATACTTTAAAAAGCAAGACTTGAATGTTTTCAGGAACATCATCTCAGATCAACCCTTCTAGACTTAATAAAATGGTGCTGCCAATTCCAGATTGGCAAATTGTATAAAGGCTTATTTTTTCCTTCCACAAAAAAAAGGATCTGGATTAGATAAATGGTGTTGCATTTGTGTCTAAGGTTTATGGTCCAGGAAATTATTATATCATCAGTTCAGAAAAAGAATGGCACAACAGAATAATTTCAGTCAAGAGTTTTCTTCCATAGAGAGCTAACAATTACTTAAATATTGATTTCAACTATCAAATACTAGTCAAAGGAGAAGAATAATACACTTCATTAGCATACAAGACTAGTGATCAATTGCCTTTGAGAAACTGTTCATACAATACCAGTGACGTACAGCACCTACGTTAGTAGTTCTGACTCAAAATAAATTCAGGAGTGTTCAGTAACCAGGGGTAAAGAAAACTTTGCCCTACCTAACAGCTTCAGAGGACACCTTTTTGTTATTTGCTCAGTAAGCACAAGAAGAGATTTCACACTGTTCTATTCCTCCTACTTAAGGGTTAGAGGAAGAGAGGAATGAAGGCCATTAGTGGTGCAGAAGGACATTGAAGAATTCCTGCAGTTACAAATTATCTCCAAGAGACTGTTGCAGACCCTGTTCTGAGATGCCCTTAGAAATCACGGTAAGGATATGGCCACGACAATACCACAGATATTCGTAGTTGCTACAGAAAATGGTTCTTCTTGACTCTTATCAGAACTTTGGGACTAAACTTATCTTTAATGAATCATTTAATCAAAACTAAACCCCCTTCAAACACTTTGTTACTGTCAAGTTTGTTAAATGTAAACCTGACACAGACAAATTTGATAGCTGCTTTCTTGCAGAATCCAGAACAAAGTGACATAGAACTAAAATGTACACAGAGATTTAATACAGCCTGCAAGTTATGGAAGATTTTTCACATTTGGAAGTGTGCATATGTGTATATATACACCTATCTACACTTATATACACTTCTCATATAAAAACAGTGGCATTAGGAGTCTCACATCTGCATTCTGATATATTTTATTACAGACTTCAGGTATTGCAGATTTCCCACACTGCAAGGAAAGCAGATTTCACATAATCCAGAGACTGTCTTGTATATGACTGGTTTTCAGGATACTACCAAATACCTCTTATGACACAAATACCATGTAAGAGTTTCACTTGCTACTGCTGAGGACAGCGAAGTCACAGTGGCCAGGGTAGCCGTGCACTCTGCAGAGGCAGGCAGCTTGCCACATGCACTAGTCGCCGCTAAGTTTGTGGGCTAACAAGATGGCTTACTAGTCTAGACAGAAGATCTGCACTTTCCTACTAGATGATATTTTCCTGTCTTGTGTTTAGATACAAAAGCTAACACTCACTCTAGCAACGGAAATTACACTTTCTTAGCTACAGTTCATGCACAGGGAGGACAAAAAGCCCTGAATAAATGACATTTTCATGACTAGCTACCTCCCAGCTCAGATGGGACCTCCGCTATCCTTGAGTTGCATGGTGTGCTTGCTGCAGGAAAAAAAAAATCCTAAGTGCTTTCACCTACACCCACTCACATCACACTATTTTTTGAATAAGGCTTTTAAAATTATCTAGGACATGTGACTGAAGACTGTAAGAATACATTTTCTATACGTATGCATGAGGCAAATTAGCTCAGACCTAGTATGTGTAGTTAGACATAATGCAAAGTTTCCCTTAAGGAGCTACCTAATTCCCCACCATCACTATAAGGATACAAATTAATGTATTTTCAATTATTTTAAGTATTTAGCATCAAGGCAAACTATTCTACATGGTATTTTTATCGTGATAGTCACTGTAAAACAACTTTTTTTTGTATGTGTGTTTTTTTCTTGAATATTGTTTTCAGATTTGAGAGTTTTATATGCCTATCAGAAGTATAATTTTGCATGTGGGTTAACTACAGAGATTCCACTCTCCCAAAGTGATTTCAAACTTACATTTTAAAACATGGGTCTCCAGACATTAGCTGCATATTGATCAAAACCTACAAAACAATAAAAATTATTGTAGTTTATTTTATAACTATTTAATATATTTGATACATTTTTTAAAGTTCCATGGTATATGGTCATATCACTAAGTTATGCCTGTCATAAATCTTACATTTAATAAAAATGGTATCACATGTATAAGATTATAAACATACTTAAACACGAATTTTTATTTTTGATTTTAATACCCATGTAGACCCCACAAAAGAGCATACTATTATGTATTTGCACTTGCAAGACTCTGGAAGAAGATATGTAGCTCAGGCAGGGGGTGAGGGGGGGCACGGAACTTTCAGTCATGAATAATGAAGATAGTCAGTCTGTTTTTCCCTCAAATCAAAAGACAAGATCTACATGCAAAGAGAATGTCTATTGAAACAGTGGGTAAAGTATATCCTTTGTTTCTCAAGTGCATTCAGCAAACATGGTAGAACTGGCTGTACTAACATCAGAAATGAAACAAAAACCAGAGGTAAGTAATGCCATAGGACAATGCATTGAGAAGGCTTGTTGGCTGGGTAGAGCTATCAATTTACAATTTTCTGGCCGAATTCTATGATTGCCTTTAAGTACGAAGTACATGCCTAAATAGTATACTCAATAGGACAATAAATTAATTCTAATGTTTCAGTAGGGCAGGAATATGTACTTGTAGCATGCCATATGCTGTTATTTTCAGATACACACAGATTACTTCACGTTTAATCTGCCTGAGCAAGTAGGACAGAAGAGTGTGGTGGCTCTCTGCTAATTCCTCACAAGTTTTTACACCAATTGCTATTAAATAGAGAAGGAAAGTCCCAGGATACAAGACCATGCTAAAGATGGTTTATACATAAGCAAGCCAATTAAGTCACTTTTAGAGTTAGATAGGAATTTGCCAAGCTTTCGAAATGATTTTGCATTTTTACATCATTTTTACATTTTCACTTCTTCATTGTGCTTCAGTATTYATTTTTTTAAATCACTGTTAAACTAGAAATATCTTTTGAACAAGATATTTCTAAATATCCAAAATTGGAGTTGGAGAGCTCTTCTACAGCTCTCCAGTTTGATTTACAAGAACGGGAGAAATTCTATTTTAGACTCCATAGATTTGTTTTACAAATCTCTAAACAAGTCTAATCTTCACCATATATCACTAACTAGTTTTCAGAAGGTATGTTTTATATCTCACTAGATAGTTGATACCATGTTGGTTTTGGTTCAATAACTCCTTGATTTCTACTTGATTAATGCGAGTATGAAGGAGAAAAAAATTACTTTGAGAATGGAGTTATCCTGCCTTGTATTTTTGGTATCATAACCTTCCAGTAAACAGCGCCGAGTGGTATTTCCCGATCCAGCAAACTCCGCTAGGTTGAGGTCTGCAAAGCCCAGCTATTAAGAAAAAATAAAACGTTAGCAAGCCTATTGCTAGGCCAGAGCATCTGCTGCAAGCACTGCACTGGGTGGCAGTCAGCAGCAGTTTCTCTCAATGATGAGTACGATGATGCCAGTTACAGGGAGAGGCCCAAGGCAAAAAGCAGAAAAGAAGCCTTGAGTGTTATGCTCACATAGCTGTATTTTTTAGTTACAGATGAGGGGAAGAGGGTTTTCCATACTTTTGGCAGTAACACATGAGCTAATTCATAAGCAAGATCAGGTGTTTGTTTACCTTTGCATATGCTTTTCCTCCTTTTAACTCCTGGTGGGAAATGGGAGAGGAAGGAAAAAAAAGACAYATTAGCAATTACACTAGTCAACCATTAAGGAAACATACTGACTCAAGAAAACAGGACATTCACATGATAAAAGTAGTTGAAGTGGTTTTCAAATCAGCTGACTGCACATTCCTGGGCTAGCACTGTCATCATTTACAACTGTATATTAGTAAAGTCCTTGACACACCCCAGCAGGAAACAGTCACCTGGAGAGAATAACGGAGAGCCTGGGAGCAGCAGAAGCCTTTGCCTTTGCACAGTTTAGCCCCCAGTAGTAGGAAGTGCTGCACATAAAAACACTAACACAATTCTAGGTTTCTAAGCTTACTGCTGCTTGCTAGAAATGACTGCCAAGGGTTCATTTGGCAGTGACTGGTAACTCCTTTACCATCATAAATGGATAAGAAATTTAATAAGAGCAGTTAAAAAAATATACATTAGTCAAGCTAAGGCAATTAACAATAAAATTACTACACTTTTTTGAACAGAAGAATATTGGACTGGTAGCAGCTAGAATTTGTTTAATGAAGCCAACCAACCATTTAAAATACAACCAAACCAAGTGAAGCAACAGCAGGAGCAGAGGAGGGAAGCAAAACTGCTTACCTTCCGTACAGACACCCTGCAGATGCAAGTATCCAAAACCCCTGTTGTGGCACTGGCACTGATTTTACACATAAATAAAAACTTCTTCTTCCAGCGGACACAGTTTGCCTGAACCACCTCCCTGCAAATAGAAAAGATGCACTTCTATCGGTTGCATATACATTTGGAACCATAAAAATCACAGAACAGTTTTAGAGCAAAAATTGTTCTGCTGTTTGTGATGGTAACACCTAGTGCAGACCTTGTCAGAAGCCTGAATAACCATCCTGCATTCTTCTCTTGTGTAGAAAGACTAAGAACTGCTAAGACTTGGGCACAATATTAGAACTACACAAAGATTTAACAGTCATATGTTCTTAAAGACAAATGAGACCCTGATATCGTGGTTTGCTGAGAGAGAGTGATATTTTGGGGGATATCAGCTCCCCAGCACATCCTTCCAGGCTATTGAGCTCTGGAGTACAGACAAGGAGTCACTCTTGATAAGGATTTTTTCCAATACAGAAAAAAGAAGCATCATATATGGAGAACTGAATAAATTTGGGGACAGCAAGGGTTTCAGCTGCATATTGGGAGCTCATCATTTGAGAGCAACATAGAAAGACTAATGGTTGAAGTTTAACAAATCCATCTAGATTCGTCTTAATCACAGCAAGTTGGTAAGCCAGCAATATAACACAGATGAGAAAGGCAAAAAAGGCAGCATGCTTTTTGCTTAAAGCTGAAATAGATCACATGACTCCATTTCAGTAACACCTTCTGGGATTCAATTAACTCCAGAATGAAAAGGTGCAGAGAGGGCAACACAGCTTTTTGATCTTTTTGAGAAAAAAAAATAACAAAAGTTTGGTTTATGTAGTCTTGCAAAAAATGAGGATTGAGAAGACTAAAGGAAACTGAATGATTAAACCTGGGAGAGACCAAAATCTATATAAGCTAAATGTTAGACAGTCGGGAAACAAAATAGAGCATAAATAAAACATTTGAAACTGCAATTTAAGTAGTCTCTAATCAACTCTAATCAACTTAGATTTGAGCAGTGTTCATCCTTCTTTTCCTTCTTTTTTTCTATTAAACCCCTATGTTTTATAATAATTTTTGCAGAGCCTCATTGAAAATCCAGTCTGACATCTTTAATGGGAGGTGGATTTTATAGTCCTGCTTAAATCAAACTAATGAACTTCTATCATTTATGGAAATACAGTGAATCAGAAGGATCACGCACAGACACTGATTTGCTGTGCTGGCAAGACTGGCATCTATAGCACTCACTGGCACTTGCCCCGTAGGAACAAATTGGCCTGCATCAAATGAGTCAGTTTAACGTCCGTAACAGACCGACAGACTCTGATGATACAGAACTGACTCATTCCAGCACGTGACGTAAAAGGAACAGGCTCTGTATGCCATGATGTACCTTTTATCCGTTATGTTTCCCATATGCAGAGTCTTGTGCTTTGGAAAGCCAAAAGGAAAAAAAAATCCCAAATTCCACCAAGCGATTTAAATCCAGCACCAGAATTCTGAAGGTGCAGATTTTAAGACAAATGGTTGCACTATTGGAAAGATCAAGAAAGATGAAGAAAGCCAAGTAGCACACAGGATATTTGGCAACTGCTAGCATTTGTTACACTTAGAGGTCTTTAATACCTATCGTACTTCTTACGGCATTAGTCATCTTTCAAGAAAAGTCAATTGTGTCTCAACTTGATCTTCACTATCAAGCTGAAGACATCCAATTGTATGGATGGCTGCATCTGTATATTTGCACGTTGTGAACGCTATGCTCAGAGCAACCGAGTTGATCATTTTCAGGATAGCCTTCCACCTTCCATCTCATGATGAATCACAACTAAAGCAGCTTTGAATGCAGCAAAGCAGCAAAACACAAAACACAGTATGTCTACTTTTAAATGCAATATTAATGTAAATAATATCTGCTTGATAAATGTAGTTGTGCCCTTAAAAACTTTTATGAACTTGAGTTTAAACACACCAATGTACATTGTTTAAGACAATGAGACACCATAAAAGCATGAGGCTTCTGGAAGGCAGACAACATTTTAAGTGGTTCTCAATCTGCTTGTATCACAGGTCAGGACTTCCTGAGGCAGAGTTAACTTAATAAACATTAAATAGGATTATCAGACCTTTAAATTGTCTTGCAAGAAAAAAAGTTAAAAATCTGAAAAGATTTCAATTGTACAGATATTTCTTGCAAAAGTTCATAAAACTCAAAAATATCCCCTCCTTTTTGTAAGGACCTTAAATACTTATTGTCAGATTCTTTCATAGCAGCTTTCAGCTTTAAACAAGATAGTTTAAAAAAGACAGTTTTAAACAGTGTGCATCCATAACCTCATAACATTTCTCCTTACAGTTCCATTATACATAGAACATATATGAGCATATATTTCAATGGTAATTTTGGTATTAATAAAAACACAATAACTCTTAAATAAGCAAATAAGGCACCCAGAACTTGACCTTTTAACAGTCACATCTAAATTTTTTTCCATTTTTTTTGTTTGTTTGCTTGTCTCTGTTTTGGTGTTTTTTTTGGAGGTGGAGGGGCAAGGGGGTGGTTGTTGAGGGGAAGAAAAAAAGAAAAACTGTTATATTGATTAGTTACTATGGAAACGAACCCAGATAACTTCTTGGCGACTTTGCCTCACTACAGAGCGCGTTGGAGAAAGCTTTCCGTTATGAGTCAGTTTCCTATGAGCCTCACACAGTAACTTTACCACATACAAAGCAAAAACAGTTGAATATTTTTACAAATTAAGTGGGGTTTTTTTTCCTTTAAGGGAAAAGTTCACATTAACTAAATTTCAAATTTAAGACTTCAGTTGTGAACAAAACCCTTATTCTATCCCCCAGGAAACATCAAGTAGTTTGGCAGAACAAAGTCACTCTTGCTGCACAGGCTCCTTGTTTGGTTTAGACTCGTGCAGTTCAAGTGTCCAACAGTCTGGTTTACACACAGCATTTTTTCTTTTAGTGTCTGTACTGTATACACAAACATAAAAATGTAAACAATAGGATTTTTAGTTTAATTTGAAATCTTTCCTTCTCCTAAGTTAATAATGAACATAAAAAACAGAGACAAATATGAAGAAAAAAACACAACTGTCCTAAAAAATAAGAAGACTCTACCACCCACTTTATACAAACATATTCTATGTATCCAAAATGTATACCCTAACTGTCAATTACACACTGTCCATTCACCTAGCAGTACCAACCCCGTGATCTTTAAAGAATAGCCAACTAAAAAGGAGCAAAAATATTCTGTATAACTCTTTTGGAATACCAAGCTGTACTTAAAAGCGTTGACTAATTCATTCAACACCTTTTTAATGGCTAGAACACTAAAAAAAATGTGTTCCTTATTAAAAAAGAAAAACAGTCAATTGCAAACACAGAGCTTCAGTGCCTCATCAATTTCAGCACTAACCAAACATCTGGCTCCGCAGGAAGAGCTCCACATGTTTACAAAACTCTACTACCTTTGATACTTCATGCAAAACTTGTACAAAGCAGTAACATCCTGTTCAGTGCATTTTACTTATAATTACCAGGTTAAAGGTTTGCACTAGGAACATTTCATGCCAAGTATTTTGTATAAAGTTGTATAAACTGATGATACTGTGGAAATAGAGCTGCTTTGGAATACTTTTACTAAAGGAGAAAAAAACCCTGAAGATCTGGAGAGGTGAAGTGGGATCTAGCTACTGTCCTCAGCCTTCTAGGGAACTACAAAAACAGCAGAGCCAGGCTCTTCTCAGTGGTGAGGACAGCAAAGACTAGGGCAGTATCAAGAGAAGGGCCAAGAAGATGAAAGGAAAGATTAGAGCAGTGAAGGAGGGGAACACGTTGCCCAAACAGACAAGGCCTTGAGCTGCCTGGAACACCTTTGAACGTGGTTGTGCTTGGAGCAGCAAGCTGCTCTGCACAACCTCCAGCAGCCCCTTCCACCTTAAGCGACTCCATCATGCTAGAGAATTAATAGAAACATTCTTTAAAATACAAAGGCGGTCAGCTTACAGTATGCATTAATATATTTTTTCACTTTAATAAATGCCTATTATATATCTGTTTTAAGAATTCGTTTCCTGAACAGTTAGCTGCTGCTGCCACCTCTTACAAGTACTCACCTAGCTACAGTAACAATCACACAAGAATCTCACAAGAATGAGCCCCTTTCATATCTGTAATAGCCAGTCACATTCCCACAACGTGATTCATACAAAACATTTCTTATCTACAACTGTGGCCCAACAAAGCCCCTCTTCAAATCTGTGCTTCTGCAATATGTATTACTCCTTTGATTTTCCCTTCAACCTATTTCAGAGGCTTTCCTCATCTCTGTTATTATTTCCATGCCATTATTCTTGTGCCTTTCTCCATGAACTCTATTAATATTTTAGCCTTCTTGTTCTCTTTTCTTTCAGCTCTGTCTAGAATATCTACACCAACCCCCGTAGATCAAGTTGCTTTCCTCAAGAATATTCTCCGATTTTTTTTTCCCCTATTCAGACCATTTTACAGCATCTCTTCAGTCTTTCCTTAATAGTTTCAGAGAAATTTCATGAAAAAGGAATGTTCTCATTTGTTTACAGAACTTCCCCTTTCACCCTTTTCTCCCTACAGAGAGGAGAGGGCCTGGAAGCTGCTGTTTAGCAATCACCAACAGACTCTTCACAATGGAAAGTAAGAGATTAATGGATGTTTGGAAATCTGAAAACAGAGCTACAAAATGGCAAGTAAGGATTTTCAACCTACCACTCATTTGCCCTCCCACACTTTGAAGTTTACTATACTTTGTTTCTCCAACTACAAACCAGATTACAGCTGAACCAAGGCTCACGGCTGCCAGTAAGAGTCACCCATTATGCGGGAAGATGAAAGGAATAAGGACAGTATTTCCACATGACAGGTATTTTTTTAAAACAAGTGTTTCTATATAGAAACAAGAAGCTATTTAAGCAGTATTACTGTCAGGATAACTTCTCGCTGTAAATGCAGCTTAGGCAAAAGGATAAACAATGATTAAAAAGCAATTTGAAGAGTCCAGTGAGGCAGAAAATGTGTTTGCTAGAGACACAAAAGACAAATGTAATTTTAAGCAGACAAGAAGGCAGCCAAGCATCACTGGAGACAAGCGTGCAGTGTCTGAAAGATAATTTATCATAAATTCTACAGCAGAAGTCCTCCTTATTCTACCCCACTACCTGCTAAGAGATAGGAATAGTAGTGCCATAGTTGGAGATTGCCTCAGAGCTCAGGAGCTCATTGTATCTAAAGAATCTCTCTGGAAACTCATGCAAGATGAAAATGTTTTGACACAAATAGAGATCAAGCTGCAATTTTCAGATATCTTCCCTCACCCAGTTCTTGTCACACAACTGTAGATAATTATCAGCTTGTTTTTGGTTGCTTTGAGTATTATTTTGCAAAAGGAAGGAAGGAACAAACGTCAAAAGCACAGAAGTATCAGAAATCAGATACCATTAGGGACATAGAGCCAATTTTTGATATATTTGCACAATATTTTAGGATAAATTCATATATTATTTGGAGAACTCACGCACATTTTTCAGAAAAATCTATTCTATAATGCTATGGAATTCACCACTTGTAGAGTATGACCACCAGCTCAAACCGCAGCTAACACACACAGCTAGAAAGCAATGGCCATGATGTTCAAAATCTTTCCAATGCCATTAGTGTGCTGTTAACTTAATTTCTTCCTTATTTATCCTGACCTTTGCTGAGTCACCCCTGTGAAAACCCATCTGTTAATTCTTAAGCCAACAGCAAAGGCACTCCCTAAATTGGCACAGAGGGATCTCTCCTGCCTAGAAGGCAACCACAGCCCTCAACCCCTTTCAGTGCTTTAGGAACAGACCAGTAAGATTTACCAGGGGTTCAAGATACTAACCTACATTTCAATACTGTTCTTATTTATAAGCCCTCCTTCCTACACACCCATATCCCTCTCTCCCCCCCAAAAACCGAAAGCTTCTTTGAGACCCACGCAGGGCTAGATACAGTCACACTCTCCCTGAAGCTGCTCCCCAGGTCTCAAGCATTTATATGCACGCTGGTAAAGCTATGCACGTCGAAAACCTTGAAAATATTATGAGATTTTCAAAGTTTTCCATAACTGAGCAAGACAGAAAAGGCTAAGATTACAGCAGCATGTCTCAAGCCATAAGGCCAGCTCAAGTTTAAGTTATCTAAATCAGAGTAGGTGCATCAGGTGTGAGGGAGTTCAGGGCAGCAAGAGCTGCAGGAGTGCAGGAACAGGAGAAGGGTGCCCCAAGTCCTAACGATCCCCACGTGCTGCTGATGAAGCCACTCACAAGAACACTTGATTATTAAAATATTCATAATAATAAAAGGAATTAGGGATGTGAGTGAGCACTAATGTGCCAAAGACCCTCCTACCTTACGGAGCACAAACTAATATATTGCATATGGGTGCTCTATATCCCCTTTGATTATTCCCAATTACGCAAAAGCAAAACAGTTTAGAAAGGGCTATAGTAGGAATATAAGTTGTTAAAAAAAAAAAAAAGACATTTTTGTGGTGTGGAAGCCTGGCACTTCGCAGCAGGCAGCGACTGCAGCGCCGACCCCGCGCGGCGAGCGGGGCTCGGGGACGGGCTCCGCTCCCGCCCGCTCCGGGGCTGCTGGAGGCCCCTCGGCTCCCGGGACGCGGCGCCGCCGCCAACGGCCGCCGCCAACGGGCGGCGCGCGGGCACCCACCGGGAGGACTCTCCGCTGAAGCTGCCGCCGTCCAGCAGGCGCACCTTGCAGAAGAGCACGCCGTTCACGAAGGGCACGGAGGAGAGCTCGTCCAGCTCCAGCTCCACGCGGAACTTGAACTTCTTCTTCTTTATCATCATCATCATCATCATCGCCAAGGCCGCCCGCTGCCCGGGCCGCGCTCAGCGCCGCGCCGCAGCCGCCCCACCGCCCATGGCCGGAGCGGCAGCAGGAACAGCAGCGGGACTGGAGGGAGCCGCGGCGCTTCCCGCTCCCGCCTCGGCGCCGAGCGGCAGCACCTCCCCCGGCGCGCGGGCGGCGCTTACATGGCGGCCGCCGCCCCCGCGCCGCCCCGGCCGGGGCGCCCGCCGGGAAGGTGCCCGCGCGGGACGCGCGGAGCCTGCGCCCGCGGCCGGAGCAGCCGCGGGAAGCCCGGCCCGCACCCAGCGGCCCTTCCCGGCAAAGATCAGCCCGGCTGTCACCTCATCCCTTGCTCGGGAAGGAACAGCTTGTTGAGAGCTAAGGAATGCGCCCGTGACGTGGGATTCCTGCCACCCCCCTGCAAGAGCACTTATTTAATCTGCGCTGAACGCTGCAGTCTCCTGCAACAGGCTGAAATCTGCCGTAGGGGACTGCTCCTTGGGTACTGCGTTCATTGGCTCTGCTGCATGGGACTGAACCTAAAAGACCTTAGAGAAATCAGCACCTGATAGCAATCAGCCCAAGTAGCCTTTGTTCTATCTGGTTACTTTGATTGTAACCAGATATCAAGGTATCAAGCATATCAACATGATCTTTTCCAAATTAAAGACCTCTCCAGAGTTTTCTTAAAAACAGATGTTTCAGGCTGATGGGAAGGGGATAGGTCCTCTACATTAAGATCTGAAAGACTGAGCACAAAGTGGGACTTGGTGTCAAATGGGTGCTCTACTCATAAAGGAATGAGGAGTGAGACTGGTGGTGGTTGGGTGCCTACTACAGGTCGTTTTATTTACAGAAGACTCTTGAAAGGTTTGCTGAAATTCTAATTAGAAATATGTAATAAATATAATTGGTGCAACTGTCATGAGGAAGAGCTCATGTAATCTTGGCCTAGGGAAGCAGGTCAGCAGCCTTCACTGATTCTTTAACATCCATAGGTGAAAATATATTAAGGGAAAAGTTAATTATAATAAAATGGATGCATACGTTCTCCAGGCACCAGCCCCAACCAAAGACTTCGCCCAGGGACTGTATTAATACTCGGAAATCAAATTTGAAGTCAAATCTCTTACGTGGAGGATCTTGATCAAAGGGAGTCAAAGTCAAAGGTATCGGAAGGGTAGATTCTAAATTTAAACAGAATCTTTAATCCAAAGGTGCTCAAAATAGCAGCAGACAGAATTTTGTTTTTTCAAAAAAAGGATAAACGCTGTCAGTAATGCAATAACCCTGCATTGTCAATGACATAAGGCTTCTCCAGCAAGCGTAAAGCTCAGGAAGCTTTATTTTGGGAGAAGCTCATAAATCTTTAAAGGAACCTTTATTTGAAACAAATACTTTAAAGACTGTCAGGCTGTCTAGTCTCCTACTGAAAAGTATAAGATTTCGGTTGTGAGGTGGCAGAATTTTAGAGGAAATGTCCTCTATGGACAAAGAGTCCTTTGTCTGTGGTTAGGCTTTTAAAGTACTCCCCCCAACACCAGTATATCAGTGTTGAAGACAGGGCACTAAAATGCTCTGCCTGCCTATTTGCTTTCTGCTGCATCATTTCCCCCCAGGATGCTCCCATTTCAGCTTGTAGCGCTTCTGGGAATAGCAGTGTCAGGAAAGACTTTGGAACATTTTCTTGCTTGGGCTCTAGAGGGATCACTGGTCTGCTCCAGCACTAAGTCTGGATGACAGCCTGTACATAGATCAGTGCTTCCAGCGGGATTCAACTCCAAGCACATTGTCTTGTGCCAGCAACTAATTAATTTGGACATCTGAGACTGTAAATAATCAAAGTAGCAGGCAATCTCAGGGGTACCTAGGTGGAAGTGGAATAAAAGTGTAAAACACTCTCCTCATGAAGCTTCTCATTCAGCTTTTTAGGAAATACATGGTGAAGTTTCAGTTCTCCAAATAGCTGTTTTCATTTTTAGTATTACCTGACATGAGCAGCCCTACCAGTTACCCTCTGAAGGATTAGGACCGTAATATTGCATGGTCTTTTAAAGCTATGTTGTAAATAAAGCCCAGCTTTTAGCCCCAGTCCTATGAAGAGCTCTGTGCCCTCCACAATGGCTACAGGAATGTCACAATGTCTTCCATGTCACAACACAGCTGAAACTCTGCTAACAGCATTATTTTCTACATTTGTAGACTGTATTTATCTGTATTAAACTACCAGTCTTTCTGAACTAAAAAATATGTTTCTCCATTCTTGAACAATCCAATGCCACAAGTTAGAAAAGCCAGTTAAGAAAATCATGTGAGAATTAGCAATAGAATCTGAAATTATCCTAGCATATTTTATTAGACAAGATTCCAGAACATATGTTTGCTTTGAATATATTTTACGTGAATAGTTTATAACTGAATTAAATCTATGTAAGTGTGAATTAATTATTATTATTGAAAATAATTCATTTAATCCCTCCTCCACCCCCCAAAAAAAGAAGCCTACAATTGATCTTTAATTTTATCCTTCTAAATGCCTTTAGGATTTATTTTGTAATTATATCATCCTTGTATGTGTTCTGAAGATTGCTATTTCAGGTGACATAAAACTAATGGGAATAGATCACTGACAATTTTCTTTTCTTTTTTTTTTTTTTTTAACCCCGTACCAGAACTAGATTTGATCTCATTTTTACTTTACTCCAGATCCTGGAATTAGGCCAGATTTTGGCTGATACGCTGGGCAATTTTCATAATTTCCATAGTATTATGAGGTGTCTTCTCCTCCAGGGAAAGATACAATTTCTATAGCAGACACTGAATCATGCGATTTGGCTGTTTTATCTTCTATCTATCAGGCTATTAATATAATATATTAAGTTTCTAATGTCTTAGAGGAAGTGCTATAAATATTGTAAAGACTAAGTGGATAGTATTGATGTAATTTAAACATGTATTGATATATGTATACTATTAAAAGCTCTTAGCAAATGCATATATTTCCAGATATGTCTCATATTGCTGATATTAACAGTGAATAAAGTTGTATATTATTCAATAAAAATATTGTAATTAAATGTATGTTGTTAAAATAAAAATCTTTTATTTAAAATACACATACATACACTTTAAACCTCCCAAGGTAGGGATATTTATGGACATACAAATATCCTGTGGACCAAGGAAATGCAATTTGTACTGTGAACCCTGCACTACATGCACAAGTTATAGCAGAATCAGCTCTCTAACTAACCAGCTCTTATCACCTGTGGCTGCTTTTACCACACAGCTCCTGGCAGTGTAGCATGTCCCATAAGGTAGAGATAAGGGATGATGCATTTATGCAAATCAAACCTGCCAACAAAACACTAGCTTGCTTTCTGCTTCAGGAATAGAATGAGTTATTATGAGTTATTCCCAGCTATTTTTACCTTGGGTTTTTTTTTTTTTTTTTTTTTTTTGCTATTAGCAGTGTATTTTCAGCGTTGTCTATGTATATATGTGTATATAGGCAAATGTTAGTGCCTAATGCTTAGGGGCTCCTGTGAGTGCTTGCATATAGTTATAACTGAGGTTGCTTGGGAACATGTGGATGACATTAACACATGAGATAAAACTGTTAATTTAAAGATATGCATCAGGTGTGACAGTGTGCGCTTTTGAATAGCTTAGGTCATATGCAGATAACATGCAAGCTTGGTACTTAAGAGCATATATGGAGGGGGGGGAAACACGTGTAATCCCAGGCAGATTTCAGAGAAGGGAAACACTGCACCCTAGGAGCACTTTAATTAATCACTGGGGGATGCAGAGAGGCGCGTTCAAATTTACCCTGGAGAAGGCGGGGGCGCCCGTTGGCCCCGCCCATCCGCCGTCCGTTGACCCCGCCCCTCCGCCGACCGTTAACCGCCCACGCGTTCAAATCCCAACGGCCGCGCAGGCGGCTCCGCCCGTGTTGCTGCGCGGTGGTGCGTCCTTCTCTCCTCCCTCTTTCCCTCCCTGCGTGCGGCGGGCGGTGTCGGCAGCGCCGCCCGCTCCTCCCCGTGCTGCCGCCGCCCAGCCCGGGGAGCCCCGGCGCCCCGCGCTCCTTCTCCGCCGCGCCATGTTGCAGCAGCTGCTGCGGCGCTGGGCGCTGCCCGCCGCCGCCTGCGAGGGCGGCCGCGACGCGGACTCGCGCTACGCCAACCTCTTCAGGAAGCTGGACCTCAACGAGGATGGCCGCGTGGACATCGCCGAGCTGCAGACGGGGCTGCGCGCTATGGGCATCCCCCTGGGCAAGGAGGCCGAGGAGGTAGGCGCCGCTCCCGGGGCGTCCTGCGCCGGGGCACGGCGGTTGCGGGGCTCTTGGGGCTGCTAACGCGCCTCCCGCCGCGGGAGAAGCCAGCTTTTCCTTCCCGGTTCGGCGTGCCTGCCCTGGGCGTGGGCTCGACGGAGGCGCCCTAAGGCGGTAAACGAAGTATACAGAGTAGAAAACGTTATTAATAGGATGGTAACGGCGCTGCCAAGTGGGCTTGGCCTTGTACATTCATCATGTGTCAGCGTTGGCCTTTCCCCGATTCTGATATTTGATAGCGTGTTCCTGCTCCAGCGTAACAAAGCATGGGGACTTGGGGTCAGGGTAAATTAAGGTTTGTTTGGGGCAACAGGTAAGGAAAACTTGTCTTTAGCCTAAGTAAGAGTAGACTGCAAAAGAGCCGAACTCTTTGTTAGTTCGGCTAATGAAGAGAGGCACATGGAACAATTGCTCTGCCCCTGCACAGTATCTGATACAGAGAAGCTGTTTAAAAATCTAGTGTTTCGTAGTAGTGAATATTATGCCACAGACTAGGCAGAGCTCTCATTCCTGGTCCTTGATACCCCCAATATGATCAGAGTTTATAATTTTCTTTATTATGTTCTCAAAGTTGTTGCTTTGTGAGCTGTTAAAACTTGGGTTGCCTAGCTTTGCTGGTGTTGCACAGGAGCTGTTGTACAGGTGCCCAGCTGCAGTGCTGACTTATGTTGGAAAGTCTGATCTTCACCTGCAGTGCTTCTCCAGTTGGCTTTCTGTCCCTATCAGTGAGAATATAACAAACTTAATGCATAATTCTATAGGTGAAACTATTTGTTTATTTGTATGGTAAGGCAAGATGGGCAACTTTTAAAAGGGCAGCTTTTAAATTAGCTTTTAAACTTCTTTATTCGATGCTGGTCACTGAAGCAGGCCTGTGTTTCTTCATTAGACTCAGTTTTAAAAGTTCTTGTGCTTTTTTTCTGTTGTCTTCCATTAGTAAATGTAAATGGAAGGGTTTCTTATCCCTTGGGTGTTGAATTAGACTGGTATGAATGAAAGTGCTAAATGAGCTTTTACTTCAATGTTATTTCTGGTCAAAATCATCTTTGCAATGAGCATGTTTATTAATTTTTGGCTTATAAAGGGCCGGTGGTCTGGTCACTTATACATGCATTGTGCTAGTAAATTCATGTTAGTGGTGAACTTGGGTCCCTCCTTACGTAGTATTGTTGAAAACCTGCTGTACCAGTCTGACTAACAAATTAGGCTTTTCTATTGAACAGCAGAGGTATAAGTGACCAATTTTCTGACATTTAATAGTGATGGTTCTTGAACACAATTCCCAGAAAGCCTGGTGACACAAAATGTCATATATTTTAAGTTTCAAGTTACTTGTGACCAAGTCATAGGTTGTTCTGTCTCTTTCCTGTTCATTGAGCTGCTTTCCATTAAAAGTGCAGTTCTGAATATTTGTCAAATTTGCTACAAGATAAAACTAGATTTGCAACCCATGAAATGAGTTGAGGCAAGCTAGACTTGTGTGGCTGCAGTGGGAGCAGGAACTGGGCGCCTTAGCTGCTTAACAACCACAGGCTAAACAAAATAAACCATGAATCATGTCACAAGTTTGAGAGGGGCGCAGGAGTTGCTAGAGTGCACTGAAATATCTCTGTGTCCGCAGTTATAAATTTAACAGTGCACACAGTTTGAATTAGAAATGACTTGTGCTATGAGAGAGCTTCAGCAAGATGTGCCTTAGCTCCTTTTCTGTTTTTGTATAGCTAATCTGCTTTCTGTATTCTTCCTGAGTCTTGAAACTGCCTTTTCCCACTCTCTTCACGTGAGGCTCTAGGCTGATGTTGCAGATGAGCCTGTAAGTTGTATTCAGGCTAAAGATGTTCTTGGGGTGGGAGGAAGGCCAACAAATCTAGTACAATGAAATTCTTTTCTACTAATTGTTGAAAAAGTCAAAATCATTAATAAAATTAGTGCTTGTGGGTGTGTGCTTTTTTTAATTTGTTTCTGTGAAGGCAGAAATATTCTTATTTCTAGATCGGAGTTTCAGGCTTTTAGGGTGTCTTAGATATAGGTCTGGATTAGGTTTCCAAAATCCTTTTTTGGCACTAGATTGCATTGTATAAAATAAAAACAAGTGCATGCAGGAGTGTGGGTCACTGTACTTCTGGGGAGCACTGCTGCTCTGTGGTTGTTCTTTGGTGAAGACCCATCTGAACATGACTGCTTTGTGTCCCTGCAAAATCATCAGCATTAAATGTTGATGTGTGTCACTTTTCTCTCTTCTGAAATAGCCTGTCATTCCTCCTTAAAATATATACAGTTTCTTTGAAGGTACTAAGCTGCTCTCTATTTGAGTAACAGATTCATGGCACATTCTTACTTCACCTTTCACATGCTTTTTTTGACAGTTTTACTATGGCTGAATGTATGATAAAATATTGCCAGGTGAAATAATATTGTAGGTAGGAGAATTGGTGTGCATTGAGGTGAATTGGTGGGACGGATATTGGGAGCAGGTTGGATGTCCTTCTTAAAGTATACATGCTTTTCACATGGAACAGCATCACAGCACAAGCTGACAGGAGTGTTTTAACTTGATCTGCCTCCAGTCACTGTTTGACAGACAGAAGTAAACAGTTGAGAAGTCTGAAATGTGCTTCATAAAGGCTGCCAGCACCACTCCTGTTTTATATTGTAGTATATTATGTGCTAGGAAGAGATAACTTTTGAAACTTCACAAAAGATTCCTGGCCTAATATGTCAAGATGGACAAAGAAGGAATTCAGTGTGGCAACGATATCAAAGGAATTGCTACAAACAACATTTACAGCCAATGTGTAGTCTGAGCTTTGAGGAATGGAGCTGTCCTGTAGAGATGTGAACTAGGTGCTGGGATGGGATCTCAAATGATCTCATCCTGGGTCTTCAGAATGCAGTATGTCTTTGAGGCTAGCGCACCATAAATGGTGCGAGTAGTTATATGAAGTACTATTTCTGCCCACCCATTCCTCCTGTTGCAATCAATCCGTGTATAAAATTTGTGGGAGGTGAACATGAAACTTCAAGCATCAGTCTGCAGAAGGAGCAGTCTGGCATTCAGGTACTATTTATACATTGAGTCTGGGAGTTAGCAGTAGAAAGATGTTATGCAAATGAATAACCATGTTCTAGGAACAACTTAAAATTTTTGTTTAGACTGACTAGCTAGAAGCTAGAGGCTAGCGGAGCAAATCAACTCAAGCCTCTTTATTATACTGTAGTTTGGCTAAAAACCATGTTGAAAGCAGCAGTTACTTCAGTAACATCTTTGATAAAGGATTCAATGGCAGCTTTCAAATGTACAGTATCTACTCATTGGAATCATACCATATATATTATAATTTGTTAGGTAGATAAAAGGTTAGAAAATAATGATAAATATTGCAATAATTTCAGAGCATTGTATACTTCTGTTCTTTCTTCTGTTGTTACATTTCTTCATGTGAAATGACATTTTTTCCCCCTTGACTTTAATAGTACATCAAAACTGGTACAATAGGCATTTCTAGTTTTGACCAAAACAAATTGTCATGTCAGATGAGTGTTGAAAGCTGGCACCATGTGTGCTTCTCAGTCGTAATGATACCTTAATGTCTAATTTGGAGTACTTAATTATGAAATTAATTGTGAATGAAACATGTCTTAACAGGCATGTCTTCAAGTCTCCACATGAAGGAGAAGGATGAATGTAAAATGTTTGTTTCCGTAGTGTTTTAACATACAGATAGTGAAGCTATCTATATATATAAAATACCAATTGAGGTGGGCAAAAGGGTTTTGGAGCAGTGGCAGGGTGCAGTGAATGATTGCAGTTTTGCAAAAGTCAAGAATGCCAGGCACCAAATATGGGAACCTGACCCCCCAGGTATCTTGTTTCTCGCCTACTGAAAGTCTTTGCTAAAGCACCATCTTCAGTCAGTAATGTGTCCCAGCTGCAAATCCTAGTGAAACTGGTCATTCTAAGACAACTTTGGATGGGAATGTTGCTATAGTAGAGTAGGCCTAGCTTACAAGTCGAGAGTTACCCATGTAACTTGCAGGGAGTGATGAATGAATGCTCAAAGGACAGTTTGTGTCTCCTATTTATGCTATTTCAAATTCCCGGAATCTTTAGGCTTCTAATTTGTAGATAGAGTTGAGGGAGCTTATCCAGGAGAAGCTTCTGCAAGGTGTGCTGATGAGGCCTGCCTCTCTCCCTTCTTAGACTCCTTTCATAGAGATTCTGTGCCCTGAAAAGAGCCAGGGGAAATACTGCTGGAAGCCTTTTCTTGTTGTAAGAAACAGCAATGCTAAGGGCAAAGAAAAGGTCTTCAGCTCTTAGTAACTTCTCTGTTGATATACCTGCCTCTTTTAACTTTGTCTGTAAGAGGTGGCATGTGTCTGAATGTTGAAAGTCCCTTTTAGGAGGGAAGGGAATAAATCTGATTGCAACATGTAGGTAATCTGGGAGGCCTTTGGAGGTTGTGCAAATGCCTCTTCTGTTCACAATGGAGCTTTGTGTGGAAGTGCTTGAGCTTGAATAGCAGCCTGTTCTGTTAGTATGTTATGTGCACCTGGAGTTGGGGTAACTGCTAGAGACATAACTCCAGGCCATTTCACTTGGGTTTGAATTTACCTTGTAGCTGGTTTAGTGTGACAAGATGGGTTTGCGTACTGAGTTGTCTGTTTCAGTTTTATCATTATGCTGAATAAATTTGTCGTGCCAGGAATGGATAGGATAAGAACCACATTAGCTTTTGTGTTGGAGGGTATCTGTCTGATAGAGGCAGGTATATATACTTGAGCTGTTGCTGAATCTGTCTTTCAGTAAGTTTAAAGTCTGTGTAAATGCAGTCTGTGTAAATGCATAAGTCACTATTTATTTTGGAAGGAAAAGCAAGAATAGAGAAAGGTGAAAAGGAAAGGGGAAGGTGTGATGGCTTTTATACATAAATGTCACATTTTCTTTTAAAATGAGGAGTATTATGAATGCTCGTAAAAATGAGGCTATACAGTATTTGCAACTGTGTCCTGTAGAACTTGAGTCATAGATTTTATCAATGAGTTCCTGATTGCAGCAATTACAAGTGTTAGCATTGTTCCTTTTCACTTATGTCCTGTAAAATAACACGATAGAAAACTAGACATGCCTAGTGACTTCTTGATGGACCCTTTCCTTTTAAGCATTCTTCCAATTTTACTAGTTAGGTGAAATAGTGATTTGCTCTGTGTTGAGCAGTCCCACCTTTTGTACACAGTTAAGTTCTATAACCAGGAGAGTGTGATTGTGAAAGCTTACAAGCAATAAAAGTATGAGTTTTAAGTAATATATAGTAAGCTGTGGGGAATGTAAAAGTCTGGATAAAAGCATGAATGTTTCCACTTATCTGTCTCTTGTAACTATGAATGTGTAAAAACTTGTAGCATCATTGCAGACTAATAATTTTGCAGACTACCAACAGGGGTTGGAATTTTTAGATTTATATAAAACTAGCCTGCAACTTCCCTAGTTTTTGGCATGTATCTGGTTGAGCCTTACACAGCTAAATTCAGAAAAAAAGAGAGGTAATAGAGGGCTGCTAGAAAAATAGGAGTTCAGCACTCTAGCTATCTTTTTAACATGGCAGTTTTGCAGTAAAATTTTTCTTGGTCTACCTGTGGCATTTCTATTTGGAGCTGTTCTGTAGTGCAGAGTTTTGAAAGTGGCTGACTTAAACTGTGGAAAAGAAATGAACAAAAGTAGCAGCAGTTGTTAGCAAATAAACAAAGTGCGTGTTGGGGAAAAGCAGTGTGTACCATGACAGCACAGGAACATTTCTATGGAGAATGTGGGAAGCCCAAAGACATTAAAGCAGAGGATTATATAAATTCTACCTTCCTAGTTAGGTGAGTAATTAATGGTTCTTGATATTGTAACCGTATTGGTGTCTGGTTGCTTATCGTTGGTTTTGCTTTGATTTAAAGTTTTCAGGCAATGAAAAAAATTACATGCCCTGGAAATTTTTTTCTGCCTTGGAGCTGAATCCGTGTAAAGGTATGGTGATCCTATGCAGATTTTAGAATGAGAACAGGCAGGTTATGTACAAAGCACATTAAATATCTCGATTTCCTAGGACTTTGAAGCATGGACTGGAATTGGATTTGGATCCTGCTCTCCTGGAAGGGTGCCTGTGCACCCTTTAGATGCATCTAAATCTCTTATAGGAAACTTGGTGAACAAAGAAGGAAATAGAAGTGTAAGGCAAAACTCTTGAGTGTTCCTGTGCATTCCACAAACGTACCAATTAGTGGTTTTAATGTGAAACTTTAACCATCCAAGCAAGTAGTACATTTTATAGAGCATTTGTATGAGCTTTTAGGCTCTTAACGTGAGCAAAATGAATGTGCTTGCTAAGGACGTGTGCCTTTTGGTTCCTTGTCACTTCTGTAGCATTGAAAGTGAGGCAATTTAAAGTCTGCAAAATAACTAAAAACAGAAGTAGGGAATGGATAGTAGGTTGGTGCTTATTCTTTTCTAATTCCTGCCATATAAATAAAATCCTTTGGTAGGTAAAATGAAAGGCACCCCTCTTGCACACTAATTGCCAACTCGCTAAACCTCCCAGGAATTTCCATTTTATTTGACTTGCATCATGCTCAGCAACAGAGAATTTTGTAGTTGGAATTTAGTTGATGTTTTATGGTAGCTGAGAGCCAGAACAACACTTCGCTTGTTCTGTATTTTCGTCTGGGTATTTTGCATAGCAGTAGGGAATAGCAGCAATTCTTTCTTCTGCAGTTGGAGCAGGCAGCCCAGGGAGGTTGTGGAGTCTCCTTCTCTGGAGATCTTCAAAACCCGCCTGGATGCCACCCTGTGCCACGTGCTCTAGATGTCCCTGCTGGAGCAGGGGGGGTTGGACTAGATGATCTCTACGGGTCCCTTCCAACCTCAACCATCCTGTGATTCTGTTAGAAATCAATCTAACTATGTATGTGTCCCCTGTGACTTACTATTTCTCAGTAGCTGTGCAAGTCCTAGAAGGTGCTTGGATCCAGTGATGTGAGATGCAGTGTATGCATGGAGCAACCTGGGTTCAAAAACTGTTTTTGAAGTAGGAATTTCCTTCTAAGCAGAGCCTTCTGAGCTGATCTGTTAGCACTTTTATTAGAATGCCGCGATAAGGAACCTATACTTATACCTGTATAAACAGCAACTGTTTCTGTGTAATGGGAAATTCTGAACAATCTCACCAAAGTAGTAAGGGCATTAGAGGAAACAATCTGGATTGTTATTTTCTGTATCTTCCTCAGAAGCTGCAGCTGTGCAGAGCAATATGTGTGGCACAGATAATGTTTGGAAGAATCTTCAGCCTGCACTCTAGATGTACTGTGAAGGACTCTGAAATTTCTTGCAAATTTAAAGAACAAAATCTTCTGCCCTCAGGTTGATCTGTCCACCAAGAGCGGCTCTTGCACAGTATGCTGTCCCCTTAGGCTTTCACACACTGAGGGGAAAGACAACAAGAGCTGATACTGTCTGAAGAGATGGGGTGCACTTTCCCTGTAGACTTTGTCCCAGGGCAAGTATTTGGGATGGATTCCTTGTCTGCACTGTTCTGCCAGAGCTGCTGTTTTCCCATGTCCCTCGAAGGAGGCAGGTGTGAGAGGACATGGCGTTTGCCCATCACAGCAGAGTTGTGCGGTGCCTCATCCTTTCTGCTGTCCTGTGTGCAGCAGCCCTTGTGCTGTCCTGGAGCCCAAGCTGATAAATCCTGCCCAGCCTCTTAGCATGTGCTTTGCTCTTCAGGGTCTTGGCTATGAGGAGGATGGCAAGGTATCTGGTGATCTGGAAGTGAGTGTGTGCCTAAGCAGGTGGGCCACAACCCTACTCGGTATTTCAGTTTGGCTTCCTACTGTGCTAGAAACTTTCATGCCCTGTATTCAACTTGCAAATAAGAAACACCTACTTAGAAAACTAACTACAAGACAGTTGCCGGGAAACACTGATGCAAAGATAAGAGTTGCTAGAGGGGAAATACAGTTGGGTTTTAGTTAGGGCTTCAGTCTTGTGTGGGAGAAAATACTAATTGCTCAAACACTGGGTGGTAGAAATGCTGGTCAGGCAAACCTGTTGTGTTTGGTCAGCAATTAAATAGGTATCGGCCATTGTTTCATTTATCTTTCCAATTCAGAAGTATTAAGCCACAAAGTCAAAGAGGATAGGCAAAAATGTTCTTGTTTAGTCTGTCATACTGTAGGTTTCACTCAGTCTTGAAAGTTACAGACTTCAAGCTGGATTCTTTAAGTTTTTGTCATGTCTCTGTTCCTTCCCATCACATCCTCAAAGGATGGTGCTATTTGTCAGTGTGCTTTTTTTGAAGTGTGTGGTCTTTGACTTAAACTATGGAGACATTAAATCTAAATCTCTTTGCTGCTGTGTGAGGTTTTATGCTTTTTTTTTCCCATTATGAAAGAAATAAGACTATGTTTAAATTTCTGGGAAAAAAGTATTACCCTGATGTGTAGACTTAAATGTTTTCCTAATTTAATACTTTCTCCCTCAGCAAACTGACCAATATGATCCATTATTTATAAGTGCTCTGTAACTTAACTGTTTTTAATTTGTAAGCTGCTATGGTTCAGAATAATTAAATGTCTTTTTCCCAACAGAAAATTTTCAAAGCTGGAGATACGAACCAGGATGGACAGCTAGATTTTGAAGAATTTATGCGATATCTTAAAGATCATGAGAAAAAAATGAAGCTGGCATTTAAGAGCCTGGACAAAAACAATGATGGTATATCCTGTCTAATTTTATTTGTTCAAGCATTATTTGAAGTAATTTATGCCTTAAAATTTGTTGCTTTCATTTGTAATCTTTCCTAAACAGAAGACAAAATTTGCAAATATAATTTTGTTAACATATGTAGGGTTGTAGTAGATTGAAATGATTTTAAAATTATTTCAGTCTTCTCTTTGTGCATCTTCCAAAGCCATTGACCCAAGTACCTTTGCTTGAGTGATGGAGAAATTATGAGGAAGTTTCTAACTATCTGTTTGTTAGATTTTTTTATCTCATTTAGTTGCATGATTTCATTGTACTTACTGTTTCTCCATCCTTTTAATGGGATGGATCAAATAAACTACCTCATTTATTTTAAATATTCTGTGTGATTTTCTAATTGCCATATGGTGGAATTTAGTGAGTTGCAAAGTGCAAATGTGTTAAGCTATGTGTTTTAAATATGTGTGTTTTCCTTTTTTTTTTCTTTAAATGTTCTAAGGCAAAATTGAAGCATCAGAAGTTGTCCAGTCCCTCAAGATACTGGGTATAAACATTTCAGAAAAACAAGCAGAAAAGATCCTGCAAAGGTCAGGAATTACTGTTTTTTAAAGTTTTTTGAGCTTGCATATTTGTCCTTCTATTTTACTTATGTATGTTTTTGTAGTACAGAGCTAAGATGGCTCAAAAGACAGGCTATTAAAGTACACTTATTTTTAGATGATCTTGGAATGACTGTATTCAAATGATTCCTTTGTACTTGAATAGGAAATTCTTTATTAAAGCCTTTTAAAAAAAATAAATGTTTTGAGTCGCTTTAGCGTTAGGAGGTCTCAGCTCTTAGATCAAGAACAACTTATGTGTTCTCATGTGGACTTTGTCCCCTGACATTCCAAATGGGAAAGTTACAGGTAATGTGACTAGATGTTAACACTTTTTATTTATGGGACCATTGCACCTCTCTGAAAGTGTATCTGATAGACAAATGGTCCATCTGACAGGGTTTGGATGACACAGTCCTGTCTCTAGAAAAGATTGAGCCAGTCATTCCTCCTCAGCCCTGCTAGCCTGGTGTTTCTGTCAAGTTATTTGAGCTTTGTCAGATAGAAAGAGTGCGCCTTTGGCAATCTTTTCCCACAGTAGCCAAAGTATCACTTAAATACCAGGGTTTTTAAGGGTGAAAGAGTAAAGACTGGTCTTTCTGACCTACCCGGTGAAGTCCGTTACTGGGTTTTATGAACAGGAGCAGAGAAACTCTTTGTTTCCTCTTGTGTGCATTCAGTGGAAGAGAATAGTTGAAAAAATGAAATTATAACTGAGATTATCAGTGACTTTGTTTCTTCATAGAAATTCTCCTGTACTTTCTCTATTATTGACTAATAAGTCTAGTTACTAGTTGAACATCTGATTCCTGAAGAGGACTCTTACCTGTTTTGCTGAAGCAAAGGCTGAAATTTTGGCAGACTCGAGTGTTATATTACATTTCTAAATGCAACATATTCCTTTCAGATTAGAAAAGAGAAACCACTACTACCACTGCAAAGAAAAAAAAACCCTGCATTTGTTTGGTGTTTTTTTTTTGTTTTTTTTTTTTTTGTTTTTTTTTGTTTTTCAGTATTGATGCTGATGGGACAATGACAGTAGACTGGAATGAGTGGAGAGATCATTTTATGTTTAACCCAGCTACAGATATTGAAGAAATAATTCGATATTGGAAGCATTCCACTGTAAGTTCAAATATATTAATTCTAATGCAGCTCTTAAATCATACCCTACTGGAATCATTTTCAATATTGATGGAGCAGTTTCATAGTTGTTAGTATCAATACACTTTAAAAAGGTTTGATTTTTCCCCTTCACTTAATTTTGCATATTTAAGTAGTATAGCATGGTGCGAGCTTTCTTTGAACAAGAAGTCTGCCAACTGCCAGCAAAATCCAATCAAAGGGAACAACTTTTTCTTCCTTTGGAGATATTCCATAAATCAGTACTCAAGAATGATATATTTTTTTAACCTCATAGCACACTTTTTATGTGTTAAAACAAATTATTCCTGTGTTAGTTCAGCAATTGCATTTACTGAGGCTTTTATGTGCTTGTATGCTTGTTAGCACTATATGATTTCATTCAAGATTAGGATCTACAGCAATATGCCATCCATTGTTTAGAGAACTTTGTCAAGTTACTCCTGAATGGACTACTTATCACTGTGCAGTGGTTGATTTAAGAGAGCAAATAATTACTAAACTCCCAGGCAATAATAGCAGTGTTCAAAGCTAAATATCTTTCTCTGGTTATTTAGAGTAATCTGTAAAGTAGGTAAAGATGGATTTCTTTGAACATAAGACTGTTTATATATTCAGAGATCAGTCAGCCTTTTCATAATAAAAAATGGCATATGAGACCTGACCACTTTGAGTGGTTCACACTGCTCAGCCCTACTGCAGAGGCAGGGTGCTTTGGCATCAGAAACTCCTGGCCTCAGCTTGTTTAGTGAAAGATGCCCCCAAGTTTTGTATTTTTGTATTTAAAAAGATACCTTTGTGTAAGTTTAGAATGTCCTTGGTTACCCCCAAGGAACAAGGTTAGAAGTCTCCTGTGATCTCTGCATGTGGCAGTCAGCTGACAACCTGGTTATCACAGCAAGCCAAAATCCAGCTACACACTAACACAGCTGGTGTTTCAGATAACAGCAGATGTGGGGCCTCACACACTGGGGTGTCTTTGAATTTTGTTTTTATTGCAGAATTTTAATTGCTGTCAGACTCTTCCAAGGAGAAAGCTATGTTGACCGATAAGTATTATGAGTTGGTAGTTGTAGCACTTCTGTTCCTAAAATCTCCAAATGCAGCATATTTTCTCCCACTTTGTTTGTTACATTATTAAAAGCTGCTATTGGGACCCTGTAGACACCAGGCTTAAACTGTGTCAGAGTATCATCTGTAATTGTGTTTATATCTGTAAGTGTGTTTAAGTTATCTTTTAATTAATTGACTTTGTGGTTGACCAACTTAAAACACCTTATTTGGAAACCATAAGTGTCAAAAAGATGAAAGGATTTCCCAATTCATCTGCTTTATACTGAATATATAGAAGAGTTAGGGTGCTTCCTGTTCATGCAGTGGCTATCTGTGTGATCTGCATCCTGAGCAAAACAGTGTTCTCCCTGTTTGTAGATATAGGGAACTTGGAATAAATGGGGGATCGTGTATGGGTTTTAACTCTGCAATAGTAAAAGATGAGTTAACCTACCTTCTGGTCAGTACATTTCGTAAATTAATAAAATTGTCTTGCCCCTTTAAGTGTTTAATTTATGCTTACTATTGGCTGCTTATTGGTGTTACAATTTTTGTAATTTATGGTTATGAATCAGATCAAGAAGGAAGGTTATGTTTAAGTGATATATAAAATGACACGATATTAGTAGTGAAACTAAGACCTATAATACTCTTCAATTGAATGATAATGCAGATGTATACCTGTTGATGAATGTACTGCTTTTGATTCAGTCAATTTTTCAGAGTAATTGATGATATGAAATGCAATGATTAGTCAAATTAGTTTTTTTAAGTTAGTGCACTGCAGTTATTTGAAATGGAATATCTATGTAGGCATAACATCAGCCATAATGATGTAATTTTAATATGTCAGAAGAAACATATATGTGTATGAATGAATTACCATTAGAGAGAAATCTCTTAATCCTTTGGAGATTATCAAACTAATCCTAGAAGAGTGGTTGGTGAAAGGTTAGCAGTAACATGTAAGCATTTGAGCTTCAGTGCTGGATGAAAAGGTTTACAGAACATGACAAAATGTCTTCGCCTGGACCGTGCTCAAGAGGTATTTGACATCATTTTTATGTAAATACTGTAGTTCAGTGTTTGAAATGGTGGGTCTGTGGCATTCTAAAGTGTATAGAAGTCATTGCTAAGTGTTTTTTATTAAATACCAGTAGAAATAATAGCAAATTTATTGAATATGGCATTTTTAATTAGCCTTTTGCAAATTCTGGGGTGGTTTTCAAATTGGTATGGGAACTGTTGATAAAATTGAAGATGAAATGGGTTACTTAGTTGCATGCCTTTGCTTTGGATCCTCATAGGTATTGGATATAGGAGATAGTTTGACTATTCCAGATGAGTTTACTGAAGAAGAGAAAAAGACTGGGCAGTGGTGGAAACAGCTGCTGGCAGGAGGAGTGGCTGGTGCTGTTTCTCGAACAGGTACCGCACCATTGGATCGTCTCAAAGTGATGATGCAGGTAGGTGCAGTGTTTAAGAAGTTGAGAGGTTTCAGCCTATGATTTCAGCTTCTACAGACAGTCTTGCAGAAAAGCGAATGTCAAGCCCATCTCAATTCTAGAAAGGTTATGTAGACAGTTATGTGTTTAACTTCCACATTTTGTCTTGTGATGGCATTTGATTCATAACTACCTAAAGGTAGATGTAGTGATCTGTGGACTCATCCCTTGTTCTTCTAGAAATGTTTTTTCCATCCTGATAAGAGCAGTAATGTAAATAAAGTAGTATGGTACTTTTACTTTCTGATCAGAGCTGTGTTCCTTATAGTGTGCTTTGTTTATTTTAGGTTCATGGTTCAAAATCAAGCAAAATGAACATAGCCAGTGGTTTTAAACAGATGGTGAAAGAAGGTGGTGTCCGGTCTCTTTGGAGGGGAAATGGTGTAAATGTTGTGAAAATAGCTCCTGAAACTGCTATTAAGTTCTGGGCTTATGAGCAGGTAGGTTGCAAAATGAGTAAGGCAATTAAAAATAACTGAATGAAAATAAGATTAGATTAGACACCATATCATATGCCTCTTCATCACCGGAACGGTTGTAATATGTGGGAGTTCTTACCATGTGTAAAGATCTTGTTTCACTAGTTGGGAGTGAGTTTACTCAGATTTCAAATTGTCCAACTCTTCTGTTAATAGAAAATTTAGTAGTAGTTGTCAGATCTTATGATTGTGTAATAAACACTATGAATCAGACACTACATCTGTTGTAAATATAAACCTGTCCTCCACTCTTCTTAACTATATGTGTAAATATCTCTGCTTTTGTTTCAAAGTGGTAACAACCTTAATTTTGCCGTGTTGTGCCAGTCTGACTTGCGTGGATTATTTTTAGGTCAAGTGTCATTGTACTATATAAGATGCCCTAACCCTGGATTTCAGTTATATTTACCTCTGAATCAGCTTTGCATAGTATGTTAGGGCCTAATCCTCCTTTGGAAGGTGGACTCCAGTTTTAACGTAGCTAATTCATCTTTGATTTTGTTCTGTAGGTCTTTTGGAAACTCAAGTAAGACTGAAGTTCCATGTTGTATGTCTCTATACTGTTCCGGAAAAGAGAGGCAACAAAGTAAATAATGGAATATTGCAGGATTAAATGACAGCTTAGTAAATGCTTGTAACAAAGCTTGAAATATTCTGTACTGTATTTCTGCCTCTTAGGATAATTCATGCTTCTCTTAAGCATATGATGCTTATTTTATATTTTTATCTACACAGTACAAGAAGATTCTCAGTAAGGATGATGGAAAGTTAGGCACCATTGAAAGATTCATATCTGGTTCTTTGGCTGGGGCAACAGCACAAACTTCAATTTATCCCATGGAGGTAAGTAACAGAATCTCCCTACATTAGAGCAACTGGCAACTGCCCTGTTAATTTCTGGCTGTATTGTGCTATAGTACAAAGAATTGTAGGAATAGTGCCCATATCCTATGATTTTTTACTTTTTTTCAGCATTTCACTAGTAGATGTTTTGAAATGTAGGGTATTAGTACATTACTGATTATTGTCACTTGATCTGTTTGTCTTTTTTATTTAATTTGATAACTTGAAAAGCTACTGGGAGTTTAGGTAATGGTGTCATTTCTCTCTCTTTGTACATGAACCGAATATTAGATTATTGTCTTATGGTGACTGCATTTGAAATGTTCAATCAAGGAAATCTCTATTCAGAGTGATCTGACTGTAAGACCTAAGGCAGGAAATTAAAATCAGGAATGGGTTTAAAATTAAGTGTATATATGTTATTCTTTTTAAACTGGGCCTAAATGTTACAACACCCAGTATGTGTCCATGCAAGAAAGGATTTTTTTTTGCAGCAAAAGTGATAGCATTCTATTGTGTGGTGGTTGGAAGCTAGGTCTGTAGTTGAGGGAGTAAATAACTACATTTGATAAAACAGCTATAGTTTGATGGATTAAATGCTCTCTTTTCTCTGTAGAACACCTACGTGTAACATTTATGTTGTAAGTGAAATACTTTTTTGACTGCTGTAGGGTAGCCATTTTACATCCTGTGTTTTTTTTAATGGAAGTAAAACATAATTGGCCTACAGTGGTTTCTATACTAAGGTTTTCTTTCTGTGTGAATTACTAGAATGCATATTTGGGCTGAATTTAAATTTATCAACAGCAAGATGGCAAAGCAAAGGAAAACTATATAATACCTCTTTCATGAGGGGGGAATGTTAGTGGGAATAAGCCTAGTTTTCACTACTAACAGTGATAGTGATCTGTTAAAACCAGATCCTTGCCATTAGTTTAATTGAATCACAGCTGGCTTTCATACACAGAGGTTTTGGAATAACTGAATTGTTGTATTGATCACCTGGATTGTAGAAAACCTTGAGTGTTCTACAAAAAAAAAATAAATCTGGTGGTCTTAGTAGAGGTATAATACTGACCTAGAATTGCCCTTTTTTAGGGTATTTATGAGGAAAGCTAAGTAGGAGAAAACTCCTAAGGAAGCTGCAGTCTTATGAAACTTTAAAAAAGGCCAAATTCTTGTTCTGGAAATTCCCTCTGTGGTTTCTTTTTGGGTTTTGTTCTTTTTTTTGTCCCAGAATGTTCTATATACTTGCATCTTAATCAGGTGCTGTGTTTTAATGATGAGAAGCAATCTTTCTACTGCTTAATCACCTCTTAGATTGTGTTTTTTGAATGATTGTTTTCTTAATATGCTTTGCTTTTTCCCAGGGCAGTTTTATGACTTACTGGTAAGTTAATACTGCCATTTGTTCTTTAGATGCTGCTATCATTGTCCTTGCTCATATCTTCAAATTATCAAAATCCGTGTTAACTAGGAAAAAAACTGTCTTCCATCAGGAATATAAAGGGTTTTTTGGTTAATTAAAGGCTATTAACTAGTATTTGTTAGGGTCTGCTGTTTTTCATGAATGACAAGGTGAAAAAGCTTACTACTAACCAAGCCCTAACAATCTTTGTTACAAAGAGGACTTGAAGTAGCAAAGTTCCTGGAACAGAGCAGTTCCAGGCAATAACTGACTAGGCAGCAAGTCATAGTGCTATTTTTCCTGTCTTTCTAAATAGCATTAATAAATACTTAAGTAACTGAGTGTTTTTTTTCAGGTTTTAAAGACCAGGTTGGCTGTGGGTAAAACGGGGCAATATTCTGGAATGTTTGACTGCGCTAAGAAAATCTTAAAAAGAGAAGGTGTGAAGGCCTTCTACAAAGGTTATATTCCTAATATTCTGGGGATAATTCCCTATGCTGGCATTGACCTTGCTGTTTATGAGGTGAGTTTAGAGCACTGAGTACATGGGGCTTAGTTTGCTTAATGTCCAATAAGGTACTGTTACTCAGATATGTAAAGTGCTTGCAGTGTTGCAGTTGCTTTCAATTTAAAATGCGTAAATGAAAATTTCCTGATAGCTTTATATTAACACTTTCCTTGTTACCCTTCCTCAGAGGAGAGCCTGTACAGGTTTACATACATACAACAGTCTCATCTAAGCATACAAGGGTTCTTTTTCCTTGAAGCATCAAATAAGAAAGCTGCTCATCAGGAGGCATTATAGACATTGGCAGTATGACATACTTGCATATTTACATACTTGGAGCTGCTAGTTGGCTGGACCTTACCCATTCTATGGCAAACCTGAGCTTAAGATCAGCTGTTACTTGTATCAGGTTGCCTACACCTGCAGTTATAACTGCTAATACTTTTTTTGACCCCTTTTCTCTGATTATAATCTAATTATGTATGTGGGCATGTCAGCTCACCTGAGTTCTTGGTAACTTCCGTTGTTCCTGGGGTGAATTGAAAGTACTGCCCTTTTTCATCTCTGGAGAAATTTGGTCCCTCTTACACCTACCTGTACCAGCTGGCCTATTTTATGTACCTCAGATGCTAACTGGTGGTTAAAACCTGCAAAGTAGTACAGGTGCACACACCAGGGCAGGCCCTGTTCTGCAGTTTGCACCTCTACCCCTCTCTGGGGTGAGGTGCCCAACCGTGTGACATTTGTTGCAACCCCTGTGGCAGAGCTCCGCTCTTCTCTGGGATTATTAGGTCTATAGCGTGAGCACTGTTGCTTCATGTTGCTGTGGCTGGATCCTTTAGGGATTTCTGTGCTAGGCACCAACTGCTCTAATCCAGTTAAAGTCCTTAGCTGTGTGCTTAACTGAGCACTGTTGAGTTCCATACCTGGGGGCTTTAAAAATAGGCATGTAAGCACATAAACTTTACAATATAAGCATTAAAAATAAGGAGGTTGGTGCTTTGCAGGATTGAATCTATAATAAATCTTATCTATTTATCTTGACTGCAGGTGTTTATTACTAATTTTATATCTTGGCAGCTCTTAAAGACTACATGGCTAGAACACTATGCATCAAGCTCTGCCAACCCAGGTGTTCTTGTATTGTTGGGATGCGGTACCATTTCAAGCACTTGCGGGCAGCTGGCCAGCTACCCTCTTGCTCTTGTCAGAACGCGCATGCAGGCTCAAGGTGAGGCTTCTTGCACTGGAAATGCCAGACTACCACCACCTGGGATGGTTGTGGCAGGGATATGAAGGTTATTTTAAAAAACAAAGCTTTATCTGGAAAATGCTTCTTATGTTGGTCCTTTCCTCCCACTAGCACTGTATTTTTTCGTCATGCTTGATTCAAATGCCAAGTTATGAATACTAGTGCTCGCTGCATTGTAACACTGATGCAGCTCATAGGATAGTCTGAAAGTACACTTGATAAAGGTGAGAATGACTTGGTGGAGTTGTATGCAGGCTAGCGAGGGGAGCTTCCACCTGGAAAAATATATTTGGCTAATGCTGCTCAGGGGGATTTTAGACATGTGGATGTGTTTTCTGAAGCTTTAAATCAGTGGGCCTGGAGGTGATGTGCTTACCACTCCAATGTACTTTTTGAATTCTAGTAATACTAGGATTCTTTTATAACCTGGGCATCTTCTCATTCTAGCCTCAGTGGAAGGTGCTCCTCAACTAAACATGGTCGGTCTCTTTCAAAGAATAATTGCTACAGAAGGAGTACGAGGACTTTACAGGGGCATAGCCCCTAATTTTATGAAAGTGCTTCCTGCTGTGAGCATCAGCTATGTTGTGTATGAAAAAATGAAGCAGAACTTGGGAATAGCATGAAGTGATGGAAAAAGGTGAGATGTTTCTAATGTTGAAAACACCAGAGCAGAAGCTGTTTCTAAAGTAATTTGTTCTCACAATTAGAGACAGATCTTTGGAGAGATCTGTAACTTTTTTTTTCCCTCCCTCAGAGGGGAAGAAACTTCCTTGATTTCCAACTCACCATTTTTTAGGTTACCTATATTGCACTTTAAAATGTCACTGAATTTAAAAAAAATCAAGAAATTATGTATTTAATCCAACAATATGTTCATTTTTCAAGAGATCATGCATATTTTACTCTTAGTTTTTCTTGTATTTGTCTTCCTGTATATTTGGATCAGATGAAACCAAAGGTAGGACAAGTGTATACTGCCTTGACATTAAATAAACAAAAGTGACTTTCTTGTGACACTGCCTATCCTCAAGCACAGGCAACACTTTGCACTTCTAGAAGTAAGCACTTAGTACTGTAGGCTTTTTTTGAAAATGATTTTTCAGAACTTAGGTTTAAATTCGAGCAAGGATGGAGTAACATGTGAAAATGTAGGCCAGCATCTTTATACTCAGACTGACCTGTCTTTTGTTTAAAGCAGTAAGAATCTGAGAAACTGCTGTTCCACAATATTGGAGTACCTCAAATGGTTTTATATGGTATTTTTTTGTGATATTTAGTCAGTTGTTTCAATAACTTGCATCACTGGACCTGCATTTGTAAATGTTTGCAACACTAACCATGACAAGCTTTGGCTTAGAGATGCCCATTTTGTAAGATCATAATGTATAGAAGTTGTTACTGTGTCCATTCCATGCAAGCCCAATTTTTACCTTTTAAAAATGGGTGAAGGGTTCTTATTAAACTGATAAAGATGTTAGCTGTGTTGAAAGGAATACACCAAGTTTGTCAAGCGTGTGGATCTCGTCATAGCTGCCTCGGTGGGAGAGGATTGTCTCCCATTTTGGACACTGTTTTCTTCCCTACTCAAAGGGTTAAAAATCAAGTATATGCTTTTAGTCAATAGTGGATTGTGTTGTTATGAAATGAAAAGGTTTTATCAGCTTATAATGTGAGATGTAGCCTCTTTGCCTCACCAGCCTCTGGACTGTGTGTGTTGGCTCTCTGTGAAATTGGGATCATAAAATACGGAAGCATTTTGAGTGACCAAATGGAACTGTTGAGCCATTCATGTGCCTACTGGGTTCATGCTACCGAAGCAAACACAGCATGCATGGAGAACCTCAGCACCCAAGAAACAGTTCCTCATCCAAAAAGGAAGTACTCTCTAGCTGTAGAGAGTAGGTATTTTCACATATATTTATTTCCAAAGGGTCTTCTGCATTTGCTTTGGCATGTTTCAGATGCCTTCGGACCTGAAACAGGCTAACAGTTGTTGCAGAAATGATTTGTTCTGCTTTCTGCAATCTGTATGGTGTCTTAATTTTGATTTCTGCAAAGATTAGTCTTATGTTCATCTTGAGCTTCTAGAAGCTACTTCTATTAAACCTTTTCCTGAAGTGTGGTTAGTGCAGGAAGAACTTGGTTCTCAAACTAAATTCCTGTCCTTTAGCCCTTGAGGGAAAAGGAGAAAGAACAAAAAGAACTCCAGAGGTTTGGTTCCAAATGCAGAAGAGGTTGAGCCATGTTCTTCAAATAATCATATTAAAAAATCTGTCCTCAGTACTGCTGTGGTTACAGTTTATTCTCTGTAAATTGATAAGTAATTATACAATGTGTGTTTAAAAATGTTGTAATTTGGTTTTTAAGTGGCAACTTTAGCTGCATCTTTTGAGAAAAATTTGACTTTGCACTCTGAAAAGCAAAAAGTCATTTTATCCAAATTCTGTCATGTATAAAAAGCCTTTCTGATCCAAGTATTTCTTTTTGCCAATATCCCTGTATCTGTATGGAACTTGAGTTGTGTTTCCTGGTTGTTGTGTTTGACTGTGACTGGTGAGCAGTGTGTGTGATACAGCGATGCCTGAAGCAGTGCCCATCTTCTAGACATTGTGTAAGTGCCATTATGAGTATTGACAATCATGGTGGTGATGTTTTCTGATCTTCAAAACATGGAGCCATTCAGATTTTAATTTTTCATTATGTGCCTTTACAGTGACTGTGTTCAAATTGTATATTCTTTGTCTGTCTATTAAGAAATATGTTTACTTTTTTAGCTCTATAAAATTACCAGTTTCTAATAAATGTTTGTTTTCTAACTGGGCTGGAGTGTGCTTCATCTTTTGTGGTCTGATAGGCAGACAAATGATTTTCTTTACTATGTACTATGTAAATTTGTTCTTTACTATGCACTGTGTAAATGCAACTTAATGCCAAGAATAAAGGCAGTTTACCTACAAACACTGGGGAGTTTTCTATATGGTTTTATTGTAATGGTGTTGGAAAAACTAGTTTGAGATTTCAGAAGGCATTCGTAGTTGACTGTCTTGTGCCATTAGCATACTTTGGTTCAGTGTTCAAGAGAAAATCACAAAATGTTTAGTTGTTTTGCTTGTTCTTTGGACAATATTAAACTGCGATTTGTTTCTGTGTTTTGCATGGCAGAATGCTTAATCAGGACAAATGTTTGATGCTTCTTAAATGCTTGTCTTGCTTTGATGTTAATCTTAGTTGTTTGTCAAAGGATCAATGTAAAACCTGTTCAAGCTAATTGGCTTGAACTCTGTATTAAATGGCTGTCCAGGTAAAAGTGTTCACAGTGACCAGCTTCGTTAGTTTTTCCACACCAGTCCTTCCAACATAAAGGATGATTGCTGACAAGTTAAGGACATKTTTCTCATCTCTGACTCCTGCAGATGCTGTTTCTGTAACAAGCAAGATCAGAAGTTTCCTTTCACGTAATAGGAAAGATAAATGTGTGTTTTGATTCCTGACTAAACAAACAGCCTCTACAGTTCTGTTTCAGGGACGAATGCTTTTAATGGGAAATTGCTGTATTGGAAAGGCTGAGCTGGGAATATTAGAAAGCATGTGAGATTCTAGTCACTTTTCTCCTGAAGTGATTGACAGTCTACCAGAAGCATGTCGTGCTGGCATCTACGTCTTTGCAACGCAAGTATGGCACTCTCCTTCCCCAAGAGCTAACACTGGCTTCAAAGAGGCTCGTGTGAACACAAAATAATCTGGCTAATGGCCATGAGTCAGGTGAGAATATTTGTTGTAGATGCTGAGTTTGCTTTTTTGGGGTTGGGAAGCCCTCTAAACTGTACAAAGTGTAGTACAGAAATTCAGTATGTTAACAATTGCAAATTTGTGTGCTTTTTACCAGCTGTTGGTCCTGATGGCTCTGCAACAGGAAGCATCTTAATGAATAGACAGTAAGTTGTGTGTTTGTCCCTTGAAAAGCTAGAATCGGCTAGAAAAGCTGATGTGCACCAAGTACCAAAATTTTCAGCTGTTGTGAGTTCGTACAGCCTATGTTATAAAGGATTGAAGCTGCAAGATCACAGTTAAACCTAAGGATCGGCTGTCTGTGGTGGCACTTTCCGCTCCACAGGAAAAGGACTTGGCCACCGTCTTGGAATTTGGGTTTTGGGCAAGGGAAGCAGAATGCAAAGTGTGCATCTCTTTCGTCAAGCCTGTTCCGTTAGTTTTCCCCTATTGTGGTTTTCTCACTTCTGTCTAAAAAGTTTGTTTAGAATACATCCAGTGTTAAATTTTTAAGTTACTGGTGACAGATTAGTTGGTGGTTGACTACTTCGTTCCCTTGACATAAAATACTTTCTTTGAAACTTGCTGAGTACTGCAGTCTGGAAAACTCTTTCACTTTCCCTAGTATCTTATCTTTTAGTTTTTAGATATGTTACAAGCCACAACTTTGAGGCAGATGCATGCTTTTCAGTTGTATGGAAAAAGTATTGTTGAGCAGCTTGTTACTGCCATGATTTTTATGACTGAAGAAATAGAAGCATGGGGAAAAAGTAGATCATGTGTGTTCAGAAGGTTCAGAAAGGGCATAGCTTTCCTCGAGGGAAGCAAAGAGCTTTCCTGGAGGGAAGCAAAGTCTGTTTGCTGTGTGGTGGTGGCTTGCTAGAAAGCCCTGCAGGAGCAGCTCGGAGGTGAGCAGGGCTGCCAGTGGGTGCTGCTTCTGCTGGACCACGATGGCCTGATGATGGCAGAGCAGGTAGGCCAGGCAGTGTTTTGCAGTATATGATGCTGCTACACATAAATTGCGAACTTATCAAGGATATTGTAGCTTGCAGGCCCCTTTGTGATAGCAGGTGTATTTTTTTTTTTGTGTGTGTGTGTGTTTTTAAGAGAGGGAGGCATTTAAATGCCTGGCTAGTCTGGATGACTCTTAAGGCTTACATTAAAACATGATGCTGTTGTAGCCTATGTTGTGGATAGTGTAATTCACAAGAACTGTGGATATTCAGCACTAACACAAGGGTTTGTGGACATATTTGGGTTTACTTCAGGAATTAGATCTAGCTTCTAAGTTTTCTGGATGCCTGAAAGACTCATGGAAAATATTTGTGTCTTTTGGCAGTTCAGGTTAAAGATGACCTGTATCCCTGGCAGCTGTCTGTGTATTGCACTGCACAAAGATCTTAACCTTTCTAAGCCTGTTTTGTCAAGTGATTAACACACATCTAGGATAAATGTTTGTGAATGCTCGCATATAGAAATAATCATATGTGTATACAGGAAAAGCTTTTATCAGCACACAGCTTGTGCTGTTTGTCTGTGTGGTAGCTGAAATAGCATCCAGTGTGGCCTGTTGACTGCATCCTCCTGGCAGGGAAGCTCCCTGCCCAGGGACTGCAGAACTTGAAAGGTAGGAGCATTACAGTAAGTGAGCTCCGAGCTTGTTCTAGGGCTCTGCCACCCTCACAGTGAACAAACTCTTACTCACATGAAGATGGAACTGTCTGTGTTTCAAGTTACACCCATTGCCCCTTGTCCTAGCATTGCTTTGCCAGATCTCTAGGGTCTCATTGCTCCCTAGGCAAGAAATAGATGGGATTGCAAGTTTGGGGTGATAAAGAAGGATAATAAGATTCTGATGGCTGCATCATCAGCATTATCTGCTTTTATGGTTAGGAGCCAGTTGTTTATTTAAGGGACAGGAAAACTGATAAGCAGTAGAGCTGGATTGTGCTGTGTGGGTGGAAAGCTCCCGGGCTCCCCGAAGCCGTGATCTGTGGGTGCAGCCGCCCACCTCTGGGAAGGCAGCAGCAGTGAGTGTCTCTGCTGTAACCCGCCCTCACTAGGGTGTGTGTGGTGGTGCCCAGGGCTGTGTGTCTAGCCTGGAAAGCTCTCCGGTATTTCTTGCATCTGCCTGTCAAGCACCAGCTTGAGCTTGGTGGAAGATGGGCTGTTGTGCAGCTTGGAGAAGGAGCCTGGGGCCGTGTGGGGTTTCTCCACAGGGAATCTGAGCTGGAGCAGAAGTGTTTTTCTTTAATTCTGAATTGTTTGCTGATGCTGCCATCCCTTTAAGTTATTTTGTCTTAGACACCAAATACTGCTCACTGGTCCCAGGAGGAGTATCTGATTTTTAGCTTATTGTTTTGCCTTTTTTTCTCCTTTATCCTGGAGATAAAGGATATTTTTTGATTTTGTTTGTTTTTTACCATCCGGAACAGTAGCTAACACCCATGCCTTGCAGTGAGTTGCTCATCTACCTGATGTCTAAAGTGTCTCTTTCCTCAGTCTGACACTGAGGGGGCCGGTGTGATCCTGAGGGTACGGGAGTCTGGGGATGGGGATTCTCATCTTGGTCCTGCCAGCAACCAAGGCGCGACATTCCCCTGGCCCTCATGAGGTGTTCCATGTTGAGTGCCCGTGTGCCGTGTCCATCCTGAGGGATACGGGACCCTGCTTTGGAGGAAGGTCCGTCCAGCATCGCCTCGTGGCACTTGCGCAGCTCTCCCAGCAGATGCCCCTGCGGTGCTGGCAGACGCTCGCGGCCGGTTACGCATGTACGGGTGCGCACGCGCGTCTTGACTAGTTAGCAAGCTCACTGCAAAGAGAGAACCCAGCAGGGCCAGCGCCCTTGGGGTTTTCTGCCAGTTGTGTCAGTGTCTGCATCTAGTGTTTTTATTGCTATTCTTGTTATTGTTCTGTGAGCAGGCAGCAGATAAAAGGATTCTGTACAAGTCGATCTCTTCAAGCTCTGTGACTCTTTGGGAGGATGCTACTTAGAAACGATTTAGAGAAAATATTTCCAGGTCACAAAGTATCCAGCTGATAAGGTGGTTGGTAGCTGTGGGTGTCTGAGCACATTGAGGTGTAAGTGCTGAGATGGGGGTTTGGTGGGTGGGGGTGAGCAGTGAGCGACTGAAATCTGAGGCGGAAGGTCAGGGAAATTTCCCTGGCATTGCAGAAATCTCCCCAAGGGATTCCTATTGCTTGAGACTCTATTTAAAAATAGAGTAAATCTATTGCAACACATGTCACAATCCTTTCTTCCTATAGCTTGCTTAAGGCTGAAATAACTATGGGCATAGACAGGAAGCCTTTAATAGCTGTCCCTTACCAGCCAGTGGTATAGTGTGTCTCATCAGGGGGGATCTTGATTTTAATTTCAATTTTCTGCTAGATTTTGAGCTACTAAAATATCTGAGCTGTGCAAACCAGAGTCTAAAAACTGTATGTCAGCAAAGGTAAAGGCTAAAATAAGTGTCTTAGGCTGAAAGAGGCTGAAGACTTACGCCTATAACCAGAGTAGCTTCTTATGAAAAAGCTTCAAGGAATAATTTGGTATCTCAGTGCTAATATGAAAATATTATATGAATTGTCTTTGAGTAATTCATATGTTCAGCTCCATAAATTTCCCATTGTGCTATAAGAAATAGGTCAAATATTATCTGAGATCCAAGATTCCTAATAGCAAAAGTTCTGGAAGTTTCCTAGTTTCCTTTCATGTGGCTTATTACATGTAAAGATACCAGGGCTGGAGTTTGCTGTGAGAGATATGTGGTAAGAAGCCAGTGCTGTAGGCATCTCTCTCCCCAGAAGCTGTGCAAATATTTGAAACTAGTAATTACAGGCTTTTTGTTTAACTTTCAAGTGTGTCTTATTAGTATTTGAAGCATAAACACTGAAAGGACTTATAATGCAACTGGTGAGTATGGATCGTAAGTAATAGTTGCCACAATCCACAAAAATATCTTTCATAGGAGTT